TTTAGGGTTTAGGGTTTAGGAGAGTCGAAGCGTGGCAAGTTGCCATTGTCTGACCGCTGCGCACCGTTGTCCTTAGATCAGGTGGAGTCATGTGGAGCGACACAGAGTCTGGGGCTTAGGGTTCGGGGCCTAGGATAGGGCTGAGGGAACACCTGTACAACATACCACACGAAAGAACGACTTAACACGGCGGCTGCAGCACTGCACCTGGAACAAATGTGGTGACGAATCCCAACGTCCCTGAACCCGAGACCTGACCCAGTGCAGCAGCGCATCGAGGATGATACCCGCAGCGCGAAGGAGGACTTCGACAGACAGTCCTGCAGCGACGAAGTCATGAAAGCCGCATTTTTCGTGTCATACCGGCAGTATCTCACTTTCTTAGCGGTCATCCAGGGAGAGCCAGGGACGCGTCTGGTTGCCGACCGTGCATCGGGGCTGCGTGGAAAGTCTGGCCTGCTTTCACCAGCTCTTGTGCAGCTTCGGACACGTTCTCGTTCGGAGCGACGGCTTCTGCACACCTCTGCAACACACGCAGTGAGCGCATCTCAGCCTGGTTTTCCAAGGCCACCTGGCCTGGTGACGTCCAGGACGCTTCTGAGGGGCGACTCCGGCACCTCTAGCTTGGGAGCCTGCAGCCGCAGATCCCATGCTGCGATATGCTGCGGACCACCAGCGAGACCCGGGTTGCTCAGGTGTTGGCCAGATACTTCCCCATGGTGGAGATCACCTTTCAAAGTCAGGTTCCGACTCCCCTCCCGTGCCTCCTGTGACAGAGCACAGAATCGCGCCGGGCCTCGGAAAGCTCGATGTGCGGAGCATTCTCCTCGCTTTGCTTGCTGTGAAAGCTATATACTGTACATTCAGTTATACATATATATATATATACACATATACACATGTATATGTATACGTAATATTACCATACGAAGACATATCTATCTATCTATCTATCTATCTATCTATCTATCTATCTATATTTATATCTATCTATCTATCTATCTATCTATCGGTTTATCCACACAAACTCCGTCAGCCGAGTCCGCAGTAGCCCCGGTCCTGGCCTGGGCGTACTCCTCTAAGGCCGACGTCATTTCTGCTTCGGCCTGGGCCCTGTCCAGTCCTCGCACACAGGCGGAACACATAGGGTTTAGGGTTTAGGGTTTGGGGTTTAGGGTTTAGGGTTTGGGGTTTAGGGTTTAAGGACCTTCCGAGCAAAGGGCAGTAAGTATCATAGTCATAGTACTACGAACCGCAATACGACAAGTAACCCTGGCGGCAAACAAACCTGACAACCCTGAGAACAGTAGAAAGCTTGTGTCTTCCCCAGCCTGGCACCGCATCCATGACGTCTTTGACACTGATCACCTAACAGGGCTACGGAAATATTTTGGGTTTCGGGTTTAGGGAATATGTATACTCCCAGCTAACAGCAGCTGACACAACCCTCGGCTGGGTTTCAGGGTTCAGCGCAGAGCCTGTTCGCTTTCCCAGGCGTCCTCTCCACGAGTCGCGACGTAGGACTTCACGACCTTCATCTACACACTCACTGACCCGCCCGGGATCACGCCAAACCCTGCAACATCCTGTAACTCCGTACATCTGCAAAATGCAAGACAGACTTGCACCTGGTCCAGAGGAGTGTGTCCCCCTGTCCACTTCTTAATGCCACGCCGCACAATATCCTTAGAAGAGCGTTCGACATTTTGCTGGAATCAGTGATGATGCCTTTTAGATGCGAGTGTTCATCCCACTACCTGTACCAATGACCAAGGAGCATAGCATTCGTGCCAAAGCGATTCACTCGTCCGTGATCCAGCAGCCACCTCCAGGCATAGCGCGGGCTCTGCCATGAGACCAGTGTCTCTTCCAGGCTGCACAAATACCCTCGAAACCCTACATCCCTTCGTTCAAACCTACAGCATAAACTCAAGTCCCCGAACCCTTGCCCTAGACCCTGTAACACCCTTAAGCCTAACGGAAGCAAAGTCCCTCCTGCCCATAGACGTCCATGAGGATGGCAATGAGCATGTTCAGCAGCAACAAAACGGCAGCCATCATGTAGGTGCCAAAAAAGAAGAAAGCAACCTGGAAGCGATCAGTGTATGACCTTTCCTTCTTTGAAGGGTTTGGGGTCGAATCTCATCGTGGTCCCGATAAGACCACGGAAATGAGTGACAGCAGCGCTCCGAACCGGAAGTGCAATGTTCATGATGACCGAAACAACCATGCTAGCAGCTATAACAGGAATAGCCATCGTTTCAGTCGCTTCAGCTGTGAGCCGTTACCCGTGTGTAAGAATGAGAAGAAACATGGGACACAACAGTGACAGCGCTAGTCGCGGTGCTGCTGACACGGCAACAACATGTTCGTAGGGCGGCAACGGCGCAGTGCGTGTAAGAGGCAGGTGCTAGTGGTCCTCGCTTCGGTAGGGAACCCAACAGGAGCTTAACATGGTTCATGACGCACAACAGGTCGCTGGCAATAGCAGGGTGCTCTTGTAGCAACGATCATGTGCTTATCATAAAGATGGTGACACGGGCACGAAAAGTAGCGACCACGGAATGATATCGTTACAGCAACGAGAGTTCACAAGGCTTACCTGTGTCTACACCCGTCAGACACCCTTCAACCTTATACCCTTAAATCCCAACACCCTCAAACCCTTGATATGTCGGAGCTGTTAAGCAAGCGGCTGGCCGTCCGCGCAACTCCATGTCTTCGACACTGAAGTCGCCCATCCTAGGGTACTCCGTCTGCTGTTTAGGGCTTGGGGCAGCTTAGCATCACGGTCATATTATCGACACTGCTGCTGCCCTTGCTACAGCCGTAGTCGTCCAATACTGTCGACTAGTGTTGGTCGGATTGTGCTCAGGCTCAGGTCAGGTGCAATGACGGAGGGTTTGCGTCATGGGTGTCATGGCATGTTAGTTATGCTGGAAAAGCACAACTCCCGACCAACAACCTCGAGAACAGCAGTAATAGTCGGCCCCATCATCAAGCTACAGTCAGCAAAACCCCGATCAAAAACCGCGCTTGGGCCATCAAGTCAGGGCACAGGGCACGCAGCAGGGCAAGCGATGCCCGATCAAACGAAGCAAAGGACTCCACCTCCCTTCCAAAGAATGCCATGCCCATCGCAACGTAGGCGAAGAAGATGGACAGGAACACCTCAAAGACTCTTGGGAAGGACCACCGCTAAGGACTATGCCACCAGACCTCGAACCTCGAAAGAGCACCAAGCAGTCTAGGCGGTGAAAGTATCATCGACACCACAGAGACTCTGAATATATCCTGACCCCGAACACTAGCTAACATCGTAGGTGCCAGGCTCCTGCCAAAACAACACAAATCCTAAGCTACTTAACAGGTGCAAAGAGCAATGCCAAAATGTGTGAGGTCGTTTGCGGCCAGCGCCAGCGTTTTGGTCACAATTGCCAAGCGAGGCTGGGCCGCAAAGGCCTTGAACCTGAGGCAGTAAACGTCGCCATTGTATCTGTATGTATACACGCAAACATATCTGTATGTAAAGAACAGAATATCTATACGATACAATACACTACATATGATACAATGCAGGAAAATGAAGCACAATACAATACAATACAACACTACACTATACTACACTGTACTATACGATTCTTATTTACTCTATACTATACACTACCATACTATTCTATACTGTGCTGTACTATACTATACTATGCCATACTATTATTATTCATATTACTATGACTATTGCTACTATACTATACAATACAATACTATACTATACTATACTGTGCTTGCTGTGCTATACTATGCCATGCTGTGCTATACTATCCTATACTATTCTATACTATATGACGCACTACCATATCTACCACATAGTATTATGTGATATGGCATAAGATTACATGTCATATTATAGTTATATTAACAATAAGTGCTAAGACTAACGCTATAATACTAATCATACTAATACCAATACCAACAATAATACCACTGCCACTACTACTAACAATAACAGAATGCTAAAACTGATACTAATACATGTGTATACAAGCTAAGCAAACACGTAAATGTAACTATAATATGGGTGGCAAGGTACATGGGTATATGTGCAACACGTGCACGTACATGTATATGTATAATATGCGTTTTGTATATGCATTTATATGTACATGTATTTGTATGTGTGGTATACAGTATGTATATGTATATTCGTATTAGTCTATGTGTATGTATATGTAAGCGTGTATATGTATGTATTATGAACGAATGTGTATAACTATAATATTGTAGATTATAGAGAGTAAATGCAAACAAAATATTCATAAGCCTTTTGTTCCGAGCAACCCCGCAAGTGCTTTTCGTGGCTTTAGCTTATAGGACCTTTAACCGTTCAGGCCATGAGGTGTAGGGCTCTACTTTCTGATCGCAAAGTACTACTTCAGTACCTATGATGCTCGTGGCAGAGGCCATATTCTCAAAAAGGGGTCGGCAACCGTCAACCCTCGGCCGTTACTCCGAAAGCCGCTGCTTGCAAGCCGATGGCAGCCGCATCATGATGCAGACTGGATAGAACCCGGAAATCCACCGGTTCGTCCTCCCCAGCTGCAAAAGTTGCAGAGTCCAGGAGGCTTCCAGATCATGGACGAAGTGCAAGAAACCTACAATATAAAAGTATGGCTAGAACTCCTCCGCAGCTTGAAGCCGGAGGGCTTTACATGTTAAGACTCGGCCGACAAGGGACTCACTCACCAAAGCAGCCCCGCCTGATCACATATCCCAACTGCTCCATGTCTTCAAAGAGCTTCTCGTCATACGCTCTCGCGGTAGCACCTCAACCAGGAGGGACATGGGAACCGAAGGGACGGTATCTGGTCGGCAGACCATGAAGTTAATGCAGGAAGCAAAGTCGACCCAGGGAAAAGCGGCGAATGCAAAGTTCGTTCAAAGGCAAGTTGCAGGCCGCGCTCGCCGTACTCGCAGACAGCCGGCAGGCAGAATGTACAGGTATGTAGGTCTGCAGGGGCCGCACCGTGGCTTGCTAAAGTAAAGGAATTTAGGCTCAAACGCTGCTTTTGGGCAGCTTCGGCAATGCGGACCACGCTCATGGTTGGGAGTGGTGTGGAGTGGGGCTGCCAGCTATTGCTTTGCGATGACACTTTTAGGCAGAGGGCTCCAGTCAGGGAGGAGCACTTGTGGTCTTCGTGACTATCTGATCATGCCATGCCAGCCTGCAGGTCTGCAGATATCTCCGCCTGGCGTCAGAGGTGCACTAGATAGCGGCAACCTATCGAACCATGACCGCACTGCTTCTCGGCCTGTCCGATGTTCTGAGAGATCCAGGTAATCAAGATGGCAAAAGCAAGAAGGATAGACACCCAGTCCACCACATTCCAGAAGTTCCAATACGACTTCCTGATGCTGGAGATGGCCAAAGTTGCAGAACAAACTCTAGCACCTCCAGTGGAACGACTTCTTGCAACGCCGGGGAACCATGCTTCCACCACCCGGCACTTGTGCTCCCGAATACAGCAAATCGCTTCGAAACCTGACGGCTGCCAAGCTTAAGACCTCAACTACAAGGTTTAGGGCTTAGGGTTTATGGTTTAGGGTTTAGGGAAGGCAGCATGAGGCAACCTTCGTTCAGGAACAGCACGAGGATGTGACCAAAGAAAAGCACCTTGGCATGAGCGGTGACAAAACGCTCACAGGCGGCATTGACCCTGAATCCTAAAACCTCCAAACCTTGAACCCCAAGTCCCGAATCAATTTGAGACTAAACCAAAACCCTAAACCCTAAACCCTAAACCCTAAACCCTAAACCCTAAACCTAAACCTTATATGCATAATAAGCATAAAATTTACCCACCTCGCCTCGTAGAGCCAGCTCTCGAAGGTTGAATGCGCTTCCAGGATAACCGACCTCGCAGCGCACCGACGGATCGTTCTCTGGACCCAGAGACTCCAATATCCCTTAATTAAGGGTTTAGGGTTTAGGGTTGAGGGTTCCAATATCCCTTAATTAAGGAATATACCTCCTTAACTCATATTAGGGATCCCTATTATGATTTAAGGTATATTCCTTAATTAAGGGATATTGGAGTCTCTGGGACATGAGGGTTTATGGCTGAGCTTTTGCGACTTGGGAGGTGAGTCTGCAAACTCTGGCGGGAGGCCTGTGCGTAATCTGCTTGAAGATGCGGCCTAGCGCAAATCGGATGATTGCGAACATCACGCTCTCGCTTACAAACTGTCTACCCCGGTCCTGAAATGGCGAACATGAAATGGATGCTGGTGGTGGTCAGCATATCCTGGGTTCAGACGCATCTGCCGAAGGCTCACGAAGCAGCCTCGAACAAGAAAGTCATGTAGTCTCTTGCAGAGAGGATGCGTAGTATGCATTATACGTCATGAAGCTGACCTGCCACATTTGCAAGACCATCGATGTCGCAGTACCCTCTCTACAATTTGCTTGGTACACATACTTGTGGCATGGCGGAATTCAAGTGCGGCATGTGGTCGCTCTAAGGTTCAATACGACGCGGCCCGCCATCCTTCGTCCCTGTGGTTCGCTGAGGAATCACCACAAGCAGATACAAGCAGTAGAGCAGTGCCTTCACACGATAAGTGCGATTGTTCAGCCATCGACTCAACTCTAGATCTCGCAGTTGACTTCCCACCTCAGCTGTGTGTGGGATCAGAAACGGCGGCCCTATAGTAGCAGCCTCGATTGATGCTAAGTGACGGTGACATTGGGAAACTCCATGAGGTAGTCCATCCATTCTACGGTCGTGCTCGCTCTGCTTTCGACCAAGTCCTGCAGTCTCCCAGATAGATCCACCTTTCGGGGTTTACGGCCTGGGATGTGAAGCCTCCAGAGCAGCAGTAGCAAAGAGGTGCTCAGAATCGTCACCAGATTGTTCAAGCGCACCCAGCTTGTTGTAGAGTTTAAACCATGGGAGGGATAAATACAGATCTGTGTGTGCGTGTGTGCCCATGCCTATCTGTCCATCTGTCTATACGTGCCTGTCTGTCTGTCTTTCTATAACCGTCTAACTACCCATCCATTCATCTATCCATCTACCTATCTATCCATCCATTTACCTAAATCTATGCATGGAGACGGCGAAAGTATGCCAGGAACAAACTCTAGAAGCTACCCCCTACCCCCTACCCCCCTACCCCCACCCCCGACCCCCCACCCCCCACCCCCCACCCCCCACCACCCCCCACCCCCCAACCCCCCCTTGCGCTTGGCACCAGCTCGGTCCTCCTGGGAGACGTCGAGCTCCGTGGGCTTCAGCCGCAAGTCCAGTCCTATGGCGCTTCAGGGTTTAGGGTTTTGGGGTTTAGGGGTTTAGGGTTTAGGGGTTAGGGGTTTAGAGGTTTAGAGGTTTAGGGATTTAGGGTTCAGGGTGCAGGGGTTTAGGGTTTAGGGGTTTAGGGGTTCAGGGCTTCTGAAGGGAAGGATCCCTGAGGGCTCCAGGATTCCAGGGGGCTTCGGGCTGAAAGCCCCAAACCCCTGGACCTTAAACCCCTGAACCCTTGGGTGTAGTACCCCTTAAATAAGGAATATACCTTAAATTATATGGGCCTTAATATTATGATTTGAGGGCCAAGGATTCTAGAGTTTGGGGTTGTGGGGAGCTTAGGGTTGAGGGTTGTTGGGAAGGTTCAGGGTGTTGAGCGGAACTTGACCCTACAAATCCCTTGCATATCTCCACACACACACACACAGACACACAGACACACACACACACACAGCCCCCCCTTGACTCTCCTGAAAATCTTCACCTCCCCCTTCACACCGAAGAAGCCCGAGGTCTTCAAACAACAAAGAGCAGGAATCCGGGCCTTCGAACTGGAAGCAGGGATCTAGTTCCATTGCATGGGCCACCTCGATTTGGGCTGAGGGTTTTGGGGCTTACATAACAGGATTTAGGGTGTTGGTTCGGGTTTACCTATAATCTCCGTTGTAGTTCCTTTTTGGGGATGCCTTATAAAATCCTTAATATATATTTGGTTAACCAAAAAAAGGAACTACAATGGAGGCTACGGGTAGGGTTCAGGGACCAGGGCCCGGGTTTGGTGAGGATGGTTGGAACTCGGTTTTTGGTTTAGGGTTTTCGGTTTAGGGTTTTGGGTTTAGGGTTTAGGGTTTAGGGTTTAGGGTTTAGGGTTTAGGGGTTAGGGGTTAGGGTTTAGGGTCTCACGTGGCCGTGCGGAGACACCAGCCCTACCCACCCGACCCCGCTTTACACCAACATCAAGATTAGGTGTAACCTCTACGAATCTAGACTAAGACCCCAGCACATGAAAACAAATAAACGAAGAATTCAGTCATTTACTCGCCAAGTATGCATACAACGATTCATACGCACACCTGTCTATCCATCTATCCATCTAGTTATCTATCTATCTATCTATCTATCTATCTATCTATCTGTCTCTCTATGCATCTATCTACATGCATGTGTGTGTGTGCGCGTTACTGATAGTACCTATGACTACATGTCTTCGAGAGAGAAAGAGAGATACATGCATGCATTAATGCTTCCATCTATACCCCATGCATGCATATATACATGCATCCCCACATTTACATGCTGCATGCACACGACCATATACATACGTATATATGGGCAGGCAGGCAGGCAGGCAGGCAGGCAGGCAGGCAGGCAGGCAGGCAGGCAGGCAGGAGGCAGGAAGGCAGACAAGTAGCCATACACAGGCATCTGGAAAGTAGCCAGGCAAATACGTATAGGTTTAGATAGATAGCTAGGTAGCTAGACAAACAGATAGATAGACAGATAGAAACACAGACAGATAGACAGACAGACAGACAGACAGGTAGACAGATAGATAGTCTAGATACAGATACAGATACAGATGGATATAAGCATAGTTAGGCAGATAGATAGCTAGACAGATGCAGACATAGATAGATAGACAGACAGACCGACACACCGACAGACCGACAGACCGATAGATAGATAGATAGATAGATAGATAGATAGATCGATAGATCGATAGATCGATAGATCGATAGATATCGATAGATATAGATAGATATAGATAGATATAGATAGACAGATAGACAGATATACAGATAGACAGATAGACCTATGGATAGATAGACAGACAGATAGATAGGTAGATAGGTAGGTAGATAGATAGATAGATAGATAGATAGGCAGACAGATCGCGTTAAACCACCATAGACAATGAAGCACCTCCTCTCTTGCGACTTGGGGGCTGTGGGATTCTTGCACTCTGCATCCACCAACCTCGGAATGAGTCCAAGAATCGCGGCTTGCCGGTACAGCGAGCTTACACATGCCAATTTGACCGTTACAAGAGAGTACAGGTTGTTATAGATAGTGAGTCAATAACAGCTGGCTCTCTGTATACGACTATGCTAGTAGTCTGGCTGTTGCCAATTGTCAAACAGCATCTGCAACGTGTTACTTGCGGCCCGCTTCCCAAAACAAAACACCAACCACTTTGAGTTGTCTCCGTCGGGTTATTGCTGCATTTTGAAGACATCGAAGGGATTGGGTCAGGAATTTTCGACCCGAGACAGCGCGACTTGCCATGATTTGAAACAACGACTGCATAGTCGAAAAGCGCAAACGGCAGGGGCCGGAATGGGTTTAGGGTTTAGGGTTAGTGCGGCCAGGACCGGCACTCGTCCCGAAGAACCCGGGCAGCAGAATTGCAACAGGACCCATCCCCACCAGAATGCTTCCGAGATGACTGTCAAGTTTGGCTACGAGAAACTAAAGCCGTAGATTGCAAAACAAAATCGGGGTAAAGAGCTTTGCTTGTGGGAGCTTTGTGAGATAAAAAGCTTGAATAATATCCTGGTCAAGGCCTTGCTTTGGCTTTGGGAATGCCCCACAACAAAGTACCGCCTGCCCTTCAAGAACAGATCGGTGCGAAAGCTGAGCTTCGGCGGATGCGACAGCCCAAGGCTGGTACCAGGGTTTAGGGTTTAGGGTTTAGGGTTCCGTTCTTTTTTGGAGTGGGTTGATTTGAAGAAGTTATCACTGTCAACGATGTTTACCCATTCTGACATGGATTGCCTTGGGGAAGTGTTGTCGGGAAGAGCCCGAGCAACCCACCATGCCTCGACCGCAAGTCTCTTTGGGCTGTATTGCTTTTTGGAAGCTCCCGAAACCAACAGTGTGTAGGCAAAGGCCGTTGACTACCGGGTCCGTTTTGGAAGGTACCTGGTCCGGACGCTTGCATCGTGGCAAGGAGCGGCTTACGTCTTTTTTGCTAGGCACCTATCAGCGGTTCCTCGCGATCGAGCATGGTATGAGCTGAGGGGCCTTTGCTGAACAAGTTTCACGCCACCAATCTTTCGATTGTGCTGCAAATACCTCGCAGAAGCTGCTGCAGGAAATTGATTCACTACCAAAGGCGGGCAGCCAGCTCCTTTAGCGACAGGCTGCATGCTCGCTTCATTGAAGGTCATGTCTGGCAAAACAGAGCTGGATCCCTCAGACACCGCTGGAGATGTCGGGAAATAGATCGCCTCGGTGTGGGGAAGTCTCCCGGAATTGACCACCACCTTTCGATGTTGCAGGTAGCCTGTCATGCCGAGCTTCCGAAAATCCAAGGTTCATCCAGGAATACCAATCTGCAAAGGTGTTGACATCCTTCAGACGCGGAGAACGAAAACTCTGCGCTGCTTCCCAGAGACTGCAATATCCCTGAATTAAGGAATATACCTTAAAATTATAGTAGGGTCCCTAATATGATTTAAGGTATATTTTTGAATAAAGGGATATTGGAGTCTCTGGGTCTCCCCAGCAAGGCGAACCTCTGAAACGCCCCGAGAACTGTCCTGGAAGTTCTTGTGTCCCATGTAGAGAGGGCTGGAGAAGGCAAAATTCGCATTCCTTAGCAGACTGGACGCTTGAGGTCCATCTTCTAACAACGTTGAGAAGTGAGAGTTCTTGCGGCTTTAACCGTGACAGGCTCAATTGAAAGTTCGAAGAACTGTCAGATGGCAGTTCTGGCCGTCCCGGCAAGATCCCACACGAAACCTTCAGGATCCCAGCGGCCCCGCAAGAAGATTCTCACTATCTACATTGCTGAATGCTCTCGTGCGTTCCGGAGAGGGTTGTCCGAATGCTTGCTATGCATGCAAAGCTCCTGCACTTGGAATACTCACTCCTCGAAGCACGAAGTCTCAAGCTTGCAACTTGCGTGCCAGATTGTCCAAACATGTCCGAGTGTCTCATAGATGTCATAGTCGATCGATTTCTCGACACTATGGATGGAATCGGGCTGCTCATGCGACAAGTTCCTTCACAAGGCTCGCACTCGATGCTCAGTCGGAGACTCTTCACATCAGCAACATTCGACCCAGGCACATCAGGAAGAACCAAACGATGAGGAGAATGGCAGCCTCAACGCAACGTGCGGATGCTATAAGCGCAGGACTCTCTAATCTAGCTTAAGACGGTGATGATTATGACGATCGTACCTACATAAACCCTAAACCCTAGTAGTCCCTAGGAGCCCTTTAGGAGCCCTTTTTAGCAGACCAGAAGCTGGGAGGTTCTTGACCGCAGCCTCACCTTCGATCTCTCCCTTGAGATATGAGAGCATCACACGTTCAGGAATCCCATGTTCCTTAGCAAAGCGTCTTGCGAAGGTTATTTGACATTACTGTATAGTTCGTTATATTACATATAGTATGTTTTATATGTATTACAAAGCTCCACCACGGGATTTCAGGTGACTGCGCAGACTCTCTCTGAGCAAGTTGCATTGAGGACGATGTTGGGGTCCAACTCCTGATCTTCAGACAGCGCCCGGCGACTACTGATCCACCTTATCTACCTGTTTACATCTGTTTACTATCTCCTAGGTCCTATATCCCCGCCCCCCCCCCCACACTCCTTCTACTACTCCTACTACCACCGCCACCCAACAAAGCAGAAGAAAATATCAAGGCTCCTGGACCTCCAAGCCCGGATCGGTGTCCACCTATGCAGGAAGGCAGGTCGAGGTCGAATCTCTCACCTACACGCGAAGACGTCAGGACGAAACGTGACAGACTCAAACAGATGTGCAGTTACGTTGCATACATAAATACGTGCATACATGCATGCATGCATACATGCACATACATCACATGCTGTCGAATGGATTCAAACAGGATATGCGTTTGGCCCGCTGGAATGTATATGCTGAATAATTTTTTGCGCATCACATTTTCCAGAAAGACGAAAGGGTAAGGGGCAGCAAGCAAGTAATGAGTCAGTCAGTCTCCCACACGCTCTTCACCGAGGTTTCGGAGCATACTGGGGCTGCGACCCAGCCAAACGTGCGATGCCTGAGGAGAAGTGACTGGTAGAGAAAGTTCTCTTGACTCCCCTCGCACGCCGGATGTTGACCTAGTTTCTGGGGCCCGAGGGTGCAGGCATGTTTGCAGAGGCAAGCCATACCCATGCTGTCCAAGCTGCCGCTCCGATTTTCGGCGTGCGATTTCGCTGGCCGTCCCCGGTGATGCGTCTACTCGGGGAGACTCCTGCACGTAGGCGCTTTGATCGTACAGGGCACTGCAAGGATAGACCTCTCGGAATCCCGCCAACTTCGATAGTATAGTTTACTATAACATAGTAGAACATAACATAATATTATGCAATATCATCTCATTGCCGCTCCGTGCCTTTGTGTTTGAAGAGGCATTGTTTTTCTTGCTCGGCGGAGGGGCGCGGACCCCTGTGATGACGCGCAGCACCATGGCTCTCAAACTTTGGCTGAGCCTCCAGGGCTGCGGTTTAGGGGTTTAGGGTTTAGGACTCTAGGGTTTAGGGGTTTAGGGTTTAGGATTCTAGGGTTTAGGGGTTTAGGGTTTAGGATTCTAGGGTTTAGGAGTTTAGGGGGTTGGGAAGCCAGAGCGAACTGGGAAGGCGAACTGAAAGCGCAGAAACCAGGGTGAGAACGCATGTGAATGGTGATGGCAGCACAATGTGCAATAATTACAGGGTTTAGGGGTTAGGGTTTGGGGTTTAGGGTTTAGGGGACATGATGACATCAGAAGGCTCCGGAAGGTGCTTTGGAGAACGTGCTGAGATCGGGGGCATTCCTTCGTGTCATCCCTGTAGCCTGCATACAAGAACTACCCGGACCCATGACTGTCCCTGAAGCCCTTTAGTTGACGGGAGCTGCGCTTCGAATTTCTTTGAAAGCCAGGCAAAGCACGTGTCCCCCACGCAGGGTCTGGCATGGTGAAACCGCGGGCGTAGGCCAGTCCTCTCCTTCATGACTTCGCCTTTGCCTCGGATGCCCGGTCTCTGATTACCATAAGAGTTTATATAGTGTCAAAAACGAGCATCATGCTTTTTTACAGTGCACATGAAAGGAAAGCCCTAAAACCGTAAAGGTCCCCGATTTCCCGAAGCCCTGAGCCCTAAACCCGAAACTCAAGAAAACACCCAAATGGGGGTTTCCGAAAATAGGGGACCCTAATATAGTACCCTAAATAATAGGATCCACCCCCAAAATAAGGTACCCCAATTTTCGATTATTTAGGTAAACCCTAAACCCTAAACCCTAAACCCTAATATAGTACCCCAATTTTCGAAAACACCCAAATGTGCGAACAGCCGGAGGCTCCTGGGGCTAAGACCTTCCCCTTGGCTTTGGCCTGTGCGGAAACAGCAGTAGACTGCCCCTTCAGATGTAGAGTTAGGGTTTAGGGTTTAGGGTTTAGGGTTTAGGGTTTAGGGTTTAGGGTTTAGGGTTTAGGGTTTAGGGTTTGAAACCTCAGCAGACTCGATCCGTGGCTTCGAAAGCCCATGAACTTGATCGAAGAGCCGAACCCTGGACCCGACAACCCCCAAAATATCCCAAACCTGGAACCCTCAACCCGCAACCCGAATCCTAAAACCATGATCATAACATCCTGCGAGTTCTCGGTGTGATTTGTCCAGCGCCTTGCCAGCCGCCTTTGCCTTTGGCGCAGCCTCGGCCTAGTAGGGCCACTGCAAAAGACTACTTTTTTCGTACTGCAACTGGACGAAAAGTGACTACTATCGCTTGGACTATCAGGGTTTATGGGATTTTAGGCTTCACGGATTGCGGTTTTTACAAGGGACTTTGGGGACTAGGGATGGACTAATGCTGAACACCGTCGTGTTATGGCCGGTCACAGTCCATGTCGTCATTATCGCTGCATCGCGCCGTGAAGATATGTTCATCCTTGCTTCTGCTTCGGCTGTCGCGAGCAGTGTCATGAGCCCTGTACACATTGATCTGGTCACTGTATGATGTCACCAAGATGACAACGATGATGATGCTGCTTGGGGCCGTGGTCGTGGTGTTAGTGCTGGTGCTCGCGTTGGTGCCCGTGCTGGTGGGCATTAGCACATTCGTCGCCACCAATGTGCAGCAACAAGATCGTGCTGCACGGCCTTGCTTTTCGTCGGTGATTCTGCCTGCACAAGTCATGGGACTGTCAAGGACCCTGCATCTAGCTCTACTTCTTGAGACCCTTGTGCAACCCATGTGTGATCCTCACTGAATTTGCACGATGACTTGAAACAGTCACCTAGGATCAAAGCATAGACGAATGACTATTGATTAGAGTGCTTCCGTGCCGTTGCACCTTCGCTTTGGCCTTGGATTTCGCTTTTGCCTTCGGCTTCTTCACCCTGGCACGTCCCACAATCAAAGCAGCTGGGCTGGGAGCAAAAGCAAAGCGATCAAGGCCGCGGGAGGCACTTGATGAGGCTGGAGGAGGCCGCGCCCTCATCCTCGCTGGCATTCGCCTCCTCATCCGGCTCCGCCTTGACCTGTAGAAAGGAAAATGTGACGGGTTGACTGCTGCAAGTTTTCCGTTAAGAGCTTGCCGGCCTTGTCCTTTTCTACATCGTCATCCATCTCGTCTGGATTCTCCTTGGAACATGTTTGCATGTCAATACAGAAGCCATATTTTCACATGTGCGCATGTAGGTGCACGGGCGCGTGTTCATTATCTGCGGACATGGTGCAGCGTCGCCAGGCCCCCCCACCCCTCGCCCACAAAGGTACGGTACTGACCCGCCCAGGGTATCCACCGCCCTCCTGTGGGGGTGTTGGTGGGTGCGCGGGTGCGGGTGGGTGGGTTCGAGTTTTTGTGAGGGGAATAAACTCTTTGTCGGACTGCCCCTCTCGACTTGTTCATACCCATACCCATCCCAATGGCTGTTTGTCAGATGTGGCAATAACATCAAGGGTTTCGTTCATTCTCTCGTTATGTATTTCTTAATTCTTTTCGCTATGATTGCTTTATCTTTGTATCTAAATTTGTACATACACACACGCATTGTTTACAAACATCCATCCATGCATATACAGGTACCCCCATACGTGCATGTATACATATTATACATCAAATCTTGCCACTTCTCCCCCGAACCCCTTTCGACTCTTACCCGATGAGTCCTCTTTCGCTTTTCTTTTCTTGCCATTCGATGGGAGGACGACCTGATCCGTGAAGCGAAGGGACGACCGTCTCAGGGTCTTTCGCAGCAAGTTTGGGGTTTAGGGTTTGGGGGTTTCGGGTTTGGGGTTTAGGGGCGCCAACCTTGACCGCATGGGAATTCGAGCTTCGCGTCAAAGCATTCTTCACCTGCCAAGGATTTGGAAGCCTCGGCAAAGGGTTCCTAAAGGTGCCACCTTGGGGTCAACGAACTTGAAAAGGTCTTCGAAGTCGGCTCCCATCATGTGCTGCCTGCAGGCTCCCAGTCGTTCATTTCAGCGTTCTGAAAGACCGCACAACATTGCGGCGTCAGAATCATTGCATCGCTTGGCATATCTCGCAGCTTTTTACCACGGGCCCACTGCGGCATGGGGGCGCAAGGGCGTCAAGAGGCTAGGCGAGAAACTTCGCGCAAGGCGCGAGCCTGAAAAATCCATGCAAGGCAAACTCCGCTCATTCACCCAAACCTGCGCCTGACAGGGCAGAGATATATACCTAGCCGGCGCGGCACAGCTACGACTCCGAAGTGAACCCAGCCAGCAGCGCTTCTTTCCTGAAGATGTGGACCCTGAAGCCTTTCGTTTCTGACCGCCGGCACCTGCTGCGCAGTGCCATGCTGGCTATGGAATCGGATCTTTAGCAGAGCAGCCCAGGCCCAGGCTCCTCGCCGCTGCCAAGGCCTTCTTGAAACGTTCCAGGTTGGCCTCACCGGTGGTGATCTTCCAGACAGTGGACTTGTTCTTGGGACGGAAGAGCGGCTCCTTGCTCGCCGTCTCATGATCCACGATCGGCTTCGGATAATCCTTCCGGCGCAAGGATCGAAGTTCACGAGCTGACCGGCTTGCTGCCAGTTGAACCTATCAGAATGGCGCTGTGGTCCTTGCCCACGATGCACCCAGCTGCCTGCTGCACCTTAGTTTGGTGACTTGCATGGTAACAACAGTGCTCCAACTTCTGCGCGAGAAGGAAGCGAGTGGTGCCGGGGGCGGGGCCTCCTTCGGAGCCGTCCAAGGTGTATAGATGTACTTGCCTGACCCAGCGACTCCGATATCCCTTAATTAAGGAAGAAACCTGAAATCATAATAGGATCATATTCCTGAGTAAGGGATATTGGAGTCTCTGAGGATACAGGGCCCTGAAAGCATTGACGTCAAGCATGGAGGTGTGTCGCGGGGCCACGACTCGGCATTCTCCGAAGTTCCGGAACGAACTCGCGGATGAACTTGCCCTGGCAGACACTGGGCTCCGTCGTGCAATCTGAGTTGGCCTGCAAGCGCCTCAGGATCCTTGACGTTCAGGGAAGAATCCATCTTCGGTACCTGCAAGTTGCCCCAAGGTTTAGGGCTTACGTTGTTTAGGGGGTCGGGCAAGATAAGTGAGACTTGTCAGGGCACAGGGTGGTAGACTCGGAAGAACGGTGGGGACCAGGGAGCAGCACCAGAGAGGCCCAGCCAGTTCATGTTGTTCAGGGACCAATCCTCGAAGAAGCTTCGTAAATCATCAACGGGTGCTCGCGATGAAACATCTATGTGCCTTGTGCGAAACACAAGCTAGCTGGACAACAGAAAGCCGCCGTCCCCTTTCAGAAGAGCTGCCTACTTGGAGGACCATGGGACTTAGTAACTAGGGTTATAAATAAGGTAGCTATAATTATAACCCGAATTAGGGTACTTATAACCTTACTTACTAAGTCCCATGATCCTCCAAGCTATGTTTCCTGAGGACCCGGCAGCGTCGACGAGCAACCTGTCGAAGACATCCCGGCCTGCAAACTTCTGAAGCTCGGGACTGAAGTTTCCCTTCCCTTAGGGGGTTCTAGGGTCCCTGAAGGGTACATATAGGGTATATAGTAGGTATATAAGGGTCCCAGGGTTAAGGGCCCATACTTTGGCTTAGGAAAATCATGGGGCCCAACTACGGATTTAGGCCCAACCTAGGGTTCAATTTAGGGTTTAGGGGATGAGTGTGATGGCTTGCAAGATCCATGCACCGATCCGGGGCTTCGAGCTCCACTCGGCGCGACCAAACCCGGGCCCAAATTTGCGCTTTCAAGCATCAGCCATTTCGGGACGACAAACCTCTTGGCCCGAACTCGGGTTTCAACTCCGCGCACCCAAGATGGTTTACTTTAAGGATCATGGGACTTAGTAAGTAGGGTTATAAGTCCCTTAATTGGGGTTATAAGTATAGTTACCCTAATTATAACCCTAGTTACTATTACTAAGTCCCATGATCCTCCCAGTAGCGCCGCAGGATTTCGTGACAGTTTCCTTGCGCCCCAACTTGTGCACTCGAATCGGCTTGTCGCCGTGACGCTTTCCCTGTGTCCAAACGGCATGGTGAGCCTACACAATTAACTGTTTGCGAGAAATTTCTTGCATCCAAAATCGCCAGAACCGGTGAAGCCCAATAGCTCCGCACTGCGGATTAGTCCTGAAAGTTGCGTTGCATCCAAACTGGTGCACCCATAAACGGCCTGGTACGACTGGATTCTTGTGAGTATGTCGTTGTGTCGGCAGCACAGCACCCAAAATAGTTTAATAGCACGAGTCCATCGGGACAGCTTCGCTGCGTCCATGTAGCACCGCCGGATTTGCGCGTCGGCATCAAGCTGGTACACCCAAAACGGCCTAGTACCACAGAGATGTTCGAAAACGTTTCGTTGTGTCGTTCTTGTGCTTCAATCAAGTTTCGTGCTTTTGGCTCGCCGCGGCTTTATCGCTGGAATGCTTCGGGTCTCAAATTTCATTTTTGGCTCGTCAGAACCTTCTCTGCACGAGCTCGATCTTCGGGTTTCTTTGGTTTGGATCGCAACTTGGGCCCGAATCCAGGCTTCAAGGTTTTAGTTTGTTTGGCTTGCCGTCGGTTTGATACTGCGCTGATGCCGAACTTATGCCGGCAAGTATAAAGCTTCGCGACGTAACTCTCCAGTCCCCTGTTGTATGTACCGTATGTATGCGTGTACTTCTACATAACTGCAAATTATAAGTCCCACATGTAACTATGACCATATTCATCCATATCTCACATATAACTGCAACTGTATAAAGGTCCGACTCATCTTCTTCGAAGGTACTCGGCGGTCTTCAGCCAAGATCTGGCGCCTTCTTCCCAGGAGAGCCAGAGGTCTCCACGAGTGAGGAAGCACGCCACGGCATGCCGCGCAAGGTGATGCATCCACCCGACCTGGGTTTAGGGTTTAGGGTTTAGGGTTTAGGGTTTAGGGTTCGTCAAGTCTCATACTAGGTTGTTTTTTTGTGAATTTGGGGTTTGGGTTTTGGGGGGTCGGGCTTTAGGGCGTCCGTGTTTGGTGCTAACGAAACTTAGGGCCTGGGGGCTTCGAGTGTAGGGTATCGCTCATGATCACAAGTACAAAGAGCATCCCGTACCAGTTGCACCTAGGACATGACGGTGGTTGTCGTGGTCGGGGTCGTGGCATAGGTGCTTCAGTGGCGGTCTTGAATTTAGGAACACGTCAAACACGTCCGCTTTCTCTACAGTTCGTCTCAATGTTGATGAAGAAAAGCGCAGCTAAACCCTAAACCCTAAGCCTTAAACCGTTCAACCGCTTGGTACCAGGCCCTGGTCAGCTGCCGCATGGCTGCATCTATGAAGGGGTACCCAGTCCTCTCGTTTCCGGTGGCAATCAAAGCCTACTTAGGTCCGGTTCACGTCATGTGGTTTGGGTCAACAGGACGGAAGAAAATTGAGTCAAAAAATCGCTCCGAAACATGTCCTAGCCTTGCTGCACTTCTCTTGCCTTCCCGTCTCCCATGCCGCGAGGAGCTTCTTGTTCTTTGCCCATGGGATCGGCCTTTGACTCCGTGCAACTACGGTTTTTGGAAACGGCTGTCCGCGTTGCTGAGCCCGGCGCTTACAGCACGGATTTCCGGCCTTACCAGCACAGCGAGCCGATATGGCATGGACCAACAGGTTTAGCCGACTCTATGCGCCTGCCGATCAAAGTTGGGGATGGAGGCCTCAGATCCGGGAAATTCATGGACATGCGATCCTTGGTTCATGCCTTCTGGCCACTTGTGCGGCCGAGAGTCTCCCATCAGGTAGGCCATTTCCCGAAACAGGATCCTGAGCGTACATGTGAAGCCGAGAGCATTGTGCTGCTGTGCCCCTAGCACCCCCTCTCCGAACCAAGAGCTGCAAGCTCGCCTTTTGTGCTGCCTCGCTCAAGGAGATGCGCACCCGTGGAAGCTCCTTCTGCTCGGCACTCTCCAGCATGTCCCGACATGATGCCCAGGAGGCTGCTAGCTCTTCGGCCGACATTTGCTTGCAGAAGGACAGGAACAAAGGTACCAGAACCCAAGCATCAGTCGAGGCATAGAGCAGCATGTCGGCTGGAAGGGGGCGAAGTCGCCAATCTGCTTTCTGATATTGTTTGTCCAGTGTACCTGCGCTGGAAGGGGCCAATGTATCGGCAAGCACAGGTTGTCTATCTCATGATGACTACTGGCAACTACAAAGTCTTAAAAGGGCGTGCAAAGCTTGCTCTTGTTCATCCTCCAGGCTGCAGCTCAACATCTGTGCGCACACCTCCTTCAAGCTCACCGAGTTCGTGACTTCCTTGCGGATCTGCCTGTAGGCAGCTGCGGTGTCAAAGAGGTTGCAAACGGAAAGGCCAAAGTTGCTGCGCAACCATCGAAGGTCGTTGTGTGGACTGTGAAATATTTTGACGACACTCGGATCGCTGAGAAGCTTTCCCAAAATCTGATTCATGTCATCATGCAACAGAAGCGCATCGAAGATGCAGTGACGAGCACCGCATCTTTGCCATGAGACTTGTACTGTGCAGACAACCTCGTGGTAACACTCCAAGTCCACGCCAACCGCGGCGACTCCAAGAGAAATGTCAGATCGCAGTCGTTCAACTGCAGCCGAGGCCTCTGCGACGGTGCTGACGAAGCTGATCGCAGACATGTCCACTGCACAGAACGCGCCAGTGCGACTCACAGAAGGCAGGCCCCGCTGCCTTGCAGATACCACGACTGCTTCGAAGAGCTGGACATCGGCTACTGATGCTACTGGATCCGGCGCCTCGAACCGAAAAGTCCCTTGCTGCACCTCAAACGACAGGACCTTGGCCGACGCCGATGCGGATTCTTTCGGGCTTCCAGTGGCCGCATTGGCCTGCAACCAGTGTGCGATGTCAGGATGCCCTGCAGCGGCGGCTTGGTCTGCGACCTCCTGAAACCAGAGCTCGGGCTTTTCGTCGAATCCTCTCGCCTCCGACAGCAGGGCGATGCACTCGGCCTGTCCAAAGCGAGCTGCAACAAGGACGAGGTTGACGGTGGGACGCTCCTCGAATTTTGCAGGCCACGGCCTTGGGGACAGAAAAGCCGCGCTGCACTGGAGCGAGCCGGGCGAGCCGGACGCCGCGAAGAGCAAGGCTTTAAGAAGGCCCAAGTCGCCACGGGCAGCCGCTGTTGCGAGTGCGCCTCCGCCATGCGCGCAGGGATCGGCTCGGGAGTGGAGGAGTAGGCGCACGGCCGTCTCGTTGGCCTCCGATTCATTCTCGACGGCCGCAATCAGCGGCCAGGCCAGGTCCGCAGGTCGCCTGCAGCGCGCGACCATGGCCTCCAGTAGGCCAGGAGGTGCGAGACCGTGGGTTAGCAACAGAGTCAGAAGGGTCAGGGCTTGCTCGGTGACCTTCGCCCCTGCAGAGAGGAGGAGCTCACAGCAGCTTTGGAGCTCCGAGTCTGCAGCTTCGGTGAGCTCCTCCAAGAGTTTAGGTGGCTCAAGGGCCAGGGAGCTGGCATCCCAAAAGGAGGGAACAGGCAGCGGCACTTGGAAGGGAGGCCAACTCTTCAAAGGCCCCAGGGACTCGAAGGCAGTGGAAATGCAAAGGGTGAGGAAATCCTCGGACGCCGAGATTTTGTACTTGGCCAGGAGCTGCCTCAGAAGCTTGCTGCTCCTCATCCGACAGGCACAATCGATCGCGCTAGCCATCATGCTGGTCCGCTCCACGCGACGGTCATGCCCTTCGAGATGGTTAAGGAGAGCTTCCACCGCCCCGTCTCTCTCGCCGGCGACGGCATGGTCAAGAGCAGAGTGTCCCCAGCTCTCACACGAGTAGGGGTCTGCCAAGGCATCCAAAAGTTGCTTTAGGCACGCACCCTGTCCTCTGAAGGCTGTGCTTGCGAGCGCTTCGGTGGCCTCCTCACGCCCGTCGGGAGTGGCCAAGAGGAGTTGCAAGGAATCTGCAGCCCCCGAAGAGGAAGCCACTTGCACCGGTGTGGCACCATAGGAGTCCCTGACGTGGATGCATGGCAGCCACCCCTCCAGAAAAAGCTTCAGGCACTTCGGGCTGCTTCCGGCCTCCCGACCACCCACCACCTTCACTCCGTTGCGACCCCCGTCCGGTCCCCATGCGGCCTTGTGAAGCGCATTCCGGCGGTGCTTGTCCACCATGCTGGGGTCGGCTCGAAAACTCAGAAGAAGCTCTGCAATCTCGGGCAGGTCGCACCATGCAGCTTTTGCCAAGGAAGTCTGACCATCTGCATTCGTATCATTTACTCCACGGGCACCCGTGTGGACAAGGATCCATTCCGTGGCCGCTTTCTGGTTGTTGGCGACGGCCCAGTACAGAGCACTTCGACCGAAGTTGTCTCGTTGTTCAAAGAGCTTGGGGCCCTCGAGCGAAAAGAGATGCGACAAGCAACACGTGTTTCCAGACATGGCAGCATAGAAGACCGGTGTCAAACCATCAGAGTCCACGGCCTGCAAGGATGCACCAGAGGCCTTCAGCACTTGCATCATCTGCACGCCCAAGCATGGCTCCATGCGCTTCTCGGAAAAGGATATTCCCAGGTCTGCAACGATGCGGTGCGCTGAATGATGCAGCGAGCTTGGATTCTCAATGCACAGAGACATGGCGACGTGGGGAAGGCCAACCTCGATCCATCTTTGACTGCCTGCACCGGCACACGAAAATCCAGTTCCCTTGGGGAGCCCACGCATGGCCTGCATGCGGATCGACATGCTTGCAGGAGCACCGTCTGCGAGCAAGCGGGCAACTTCGGGCACGTCGCCTGACTTCACGGCGTTAGCCAGAGATGTCCTTGTTTGCAGCCATCTCTCACGCTTCTTCGCATGCGCCGCCTGCTGCTCGGGAGTCATTGGTGAAGTGAAGCTCGGTTGGTTCAGAGGCGGCTCGGCTTTAGACAAGGCTTCGGCATAGCCGGCACCGTCCTCCAGCTCGGAATCGCACACATCATCATCTGCGCAGGCGGCCCTCAACGCCCAAGCCGCCCCTTCGCTTCTCATGACCCCGAGAAACCACCAAAGAACCAGGTCTCTGCCCTTCAACGGACTGTCGGTCTTCGAGGTCCTCGACGCATCCTCCGAGAAGATCTGGGCCCTCCACCAGGTGGAGGTCAGCAGCGCCGCGGCAAGCGGAACATCACTGAGAACCCCAGGTGTGGCTCCGCCCAGGAAGTCATGGGGTGAGCTGTTCTCGCCTGGAAGGATCTGAGCTCCATAGTGGGATGTAAGGAGGCCGCAGATGTCCTGCACCAGCGGACCCAGCAAGGAGGGCCTCCCTGCTGCCTCTCGAATCTTCAGGCTCAGGGCCAGGTAATCCGTAGCCGAGGGCTCCAGCAGGTCCACGCCCTTGCGCAGGATCTCCGGCATAACGGTGACAGCCTCGCAGCTTTCACCGAGCTCCTGGCCCAGCAGAAGACACGAGGCGCCCTCTCGCAGTAGCTGGCTCTTGCGAAGCAGCAGGCGTCTGGGTCTGCCCACGGCCTTGGTCGTCCTGGAGTATTTCGTTGCAGCTATGAGGAAGGCCAGGTAGGCACACTCCAAGGAAGGTCTCTTCTGTGGAAGGACCAGGATGCTACATCCAGCACGCGAGACCTCCGAGGGTCTGCGAGGGGATGAAGAGCCTGCTGTGGCAGCCGGGATCATCTGAAGTCAGAGGCAGGGCCCAGTGGCCCCAACATCTGTAGCAAACGTCTTTCGCAGTGAAATGGAAAGGGGTGGCTTCGAAAGGACATGCAGCAGAAAGTTCGAGCTTCTTAAGTGTCGTGCTGTGACAAGCATGCAAGCAGCTATACGTCTATGCTTCCATCTACATATACTCTGTCTTTCTGTCTCTCTATGTGTGTGTAGAATTATCTATCTAGTGATGCCTTTTTGTCTGTGTAATTATATGTTTTCGTTTATCTACATTATGTAGAAATTCACAATGTGAGACTGTGAGATTGTGTTTCTCATAGTTCTAGATCAACTATATATGCATGTGGCAGTGCCGCCTGGGGCTGCGGCTGGCCCAGCAGGGACTCGGGTGGCTTGGAATGGTTCGATCCCGAACAGACCTGCGAGTGGACACGCCACAGGGTTTAGGGTTACCAATTAAATAAACCCTTTACCAGCACCCCCCAAGTACACTTTCATAGAGGTCTTACGTCTTTCATCGTGGGTACTTAAGGCTCTTCTGAAGGGTAGTTAGGGGGGTGCTGGTAAACCTTACGATCTAGACTCGACATAGCATCTGTAATTGGGGTTTAGGGTTTAGGGTTTAAGGTTTAAGGTAATGCCGTATCTCAACATTTGTGCCTTCTTCAGGCCGTAGTAGAACTCACGGATGCTCACCTCACTCTTGTTTTGCAAGCTATTGTCTGCTGCGGCTGGTTGGCGACGAGCTACGCATCCAAACTTCAAGTAAGGCGAGAGGACTGTCGTGTCCGGCGGGTCCTGAGATCTTCCAAGTATCTACGGACCCTTACTGCATCGCGCGTGGATGATTCCCCACTCTCTCCATTAACTTAGCTGCGCACAAAAGCAGTGGATCTTGTCTGAGGCTTCCGGAAGGTCCGGATGAACTTTGTTTTCTGAACAGACAGGGCCATGACGAGGTACATGTCCAAAGCGAGCACGCAGCACCTTGAGCATGGAGGTCATTCGCGCCGCACCGGCAGTCTCGCCCCCTTTGAGGTAAGTCTGCGGGCCTAGCCCACATGTGCAGAGGGCTACAATGATGACACGGAATTCAGCCGTGGCAACTGCTCAGACCAAGGCTGGATTTGTAGCCTCAGTACCATCGGCAACCAAAGATGGCCCACCGTCCGACCCAGCAGTCGTGAATCTTGGCAACCAGCCCATCTTCTTCAGTTCGGGCACGTCGTAGGCCTGCCCACTCGGCAATGCTCGCCCAACTTGAACAACCAATTGCATGCACCAGTTCATGCACAAGAGGGATGAACCCATCATGCAGTATGTGTAAAGGGCCGCTGGAGCACCTTTCCTGACGCGGCCGGTGGTAATGGTGGCCTTGTCACAGCAGTTTGAGGAAGGCCCAGAGTCATGATAAGCCAATGCAGCCGCAGCTTGCAGCTTTTGCACATCAGCAGCTTGGGCTCTGGCAATTTTGCTGGCGCAGGGCGTGGGGCGGCAGGCTCTCCCAATTTCTGATTGACATACTCGCGCAAGCCAAGGGCCAACGACTCTGCTTTGAGTGCTTCCGGCTCCAAAGCATAACAACAGGCGCCTTAGCCAAGGACTGCATTCCGTTGTTGGTCGTAGGAGAAGACCCTGATGGACACGACATACTCAATAGTTGAGGGCATATCGTTCAAACCCACCTTTGTTCTTCGCCAACGCTTCGTCAACATCGTACAGCGTGTGTCCCGAGAAGGTGCGCACCTGCTTCAACGAACGTAACTCATGACACACAAGCTCTGGACGTGCAGGCTGACTGGGGACAGCAAGAACTGCTTCTTACCTTCTTTTCTACCCTCCCCCCCGAAGATGCCTCAATGCCGCCCTTCTTGGCCAGCTTCTCTATGGCTGCGTCACGCTTCCTCGCCATCTCTCCGGAGCTTCCCAAGAGAACTCACACATCTGCAGATCTCTCTGAAGGCCCATCCTTGCATAGGGCTCCGTGTCCTTCTCCCACACGATGAGTCGCGGCTTGGCCTCGGAGTGAAACTGCGCCCGCCGGGATCTCGTGACCTCGCTTGGCTCCATGCAGCCAGGAGCGGCTTTCCACTTTGGAAAAGCTTGCCAAGCACCTCCTGGCCAGAATCCGGATGCAGGCTCAGATCAATAACCACGACACAAAACCCTAAACCCTAAACCCCTAAACCCTAAACCCTGAACCCTAAACCCTGCAAACTGCCGAATTCCACGCCAGGCCGGGCAGACCTGCGGTCTGCCGCGCAAGACGATCAAGCGGCTACCTCAGCAAACTCCTCCTTCCTCTCTTGCCTCTCGTAGAAGCTCAAAGAGGCTCTCTTGCAATCAAGTTCACGGTAGCGCTTCCGAAGCTGCCTCAAGGGGCTACGCGAAGTTGCCCAACACCAAACTCGGCAATCCGTCTTGCAACACTTAGGCAATTAAATCGGATCGCTTGCGAACCACCACGATGTTCCAGAATGGATTTTCCACTGTTTCACAGGCTGAGAAACTCTTGCAGGCACGGTGCTGATCCAGATCTCGCAGGCAATCTAAGAGGAAATTGTAGCCTGGGTTCGGTTGCATTTTTTTTTTGGAGAGTATGGAGGCTCTACTTATACAGGCCACACAGGCCCCGATGCTGCAGAGGCGTTGATGCGATCAAGAAGCGATTTGGCCCAACGAACTTGGGGCCGAAGAAAGGGTCCAGAACGAACACAGGGCCTTAGGCAGCTGCAGGGCATAGACAACTGTAGGAATAAGCGGCGACTCTTGCCCTTGAGGCATGCGCAAAGGTGTTTCGCTCCAGATTTGGCTGCCTTCACAAACCAGGATTGAGCACAACAAGGCACAACATGATGACCTGCCTCCAAAAGCGCCGCATTGTCATGCAAGCGAAGCCCTTTGCGGAACCTTGCAAGTATGCTCGACGCACCCACCCTCTAAGCGCTGAAGCCATGTTGTCTCAGGTTGCGTGCCGAGGCACCACACGACAGCCGTCCCGGCAGCTTCTGCTTTCGGCGCCATGATCCCTATATACTCTGGAGTCTGGGGTTGGTTGAGGGCTGTTGGGAATCGCGCCTGCGCATCCTATCGAACCCCAAGTCCCAAAGTCTGAACCCCTAGTCCTCATGAGTGCTCCTAAACCCTAAAGCCCTAAAGCCAAAATGTCATGATCTCTCAGCTGGGTTAAACGAGGTGCAGACATGTAAGAGGCTCAGGGCAGAGCCTCGACCACGGCAAGAAGCAAGTGAAGAAAAAGACGCCCTCAATCTGCATGTCGTGCAGAATGAACCATGGTATATCTTGGGCTACACCTGTGTGTGTGTGTGCATATATATATATATATATGTATACAAATAACAGACACGCACATGGCCTTCACCTAGAGCGAGAGAAGTCGATACCCTAGCTCACATTAAAGTGACTCTGCAGTCTGGTATTGACTGCCGCCGACTTTGACTTCGGGAGGCTGTCTTGGGATCAAGAAAATGTGGTGAAACCTTTGTGTCGAGACCAGCAGGCTGATGGAAGGCTGCCAGTCAGTCCAGCTCCTTGAGGATGTGCCGCTTCCTGAGATGCGACAGAGGAGAGGACGGGCTGAGGTCACACCCAAACCCTAAACCCGAATCACTCGTACTTCTGTCCGGGCCGCTTCATGGGTTCGTGAACGACGCTTCCCGGCTTCGAATGCTTCTTGCGATTTGTCTCCTTGCGCTGTTTCGCCTGGCAAGGACGGCGCCCTCGGCTGTCTGAAGGCTCCGTGAGAAAGGCAGCGGCGTTTGCCGCAGGCGAGCACCGGGCCTCTCTCATGATGCGCCGCTTGTTCCCCATCGACTTGATCTGGCAGCATCAGCGATCCAAGCGAAAGAAAAATAAACATGGTAGTGATGGTAACAATGGTACTAGTAACAATGATGGTATCAATAATACTGATTATCATAAGAAAAATAATAATGGCAGCAATAATGAAAATACCTTCAAGACATTGCATCTCAGCATCGGGCCATCTTGGGGACATGCCTGTCACAGCTCTGCTCCAGACAGTTGGATATCATCCTTTCCACAAGGCACTCTTCCGGATGCGCCTGTGTCGCTTGATGCGAGCGATCTCCGGCATCCGTGCAAACTTTTTCTTCAGAGTTTCTCTGTAGGCCTGGCATGGACTTGCATAGGGCCCCCAAAATTTTCAAAAAGCACATAAGCAAAAATTAGGATAGGGATATCCCATATAAAGCTTATGTGCTTTTTGGGTCCCTAATTGCATTCCCTCGAGGTTCTTCTGAGCCACGGAAGCTGCCTCTGCTCTCTTCTCTCGAGGCGTTGACACGCCAAGCTTCTGATCCGCTTTGGCCTGGCCAGGTTCAGACCATCTCCGAAACTGAAAACAGAGAGAGAGAGAGAGGGGTTGTGTCAAGTTTTGTTGGGGGGCTGCTGCCTTCCAGACTCGAATGTTCGTGTCCTCCGAACCAGAGAGAACGAATCTCCCGTCTGGGGTGAAATGGCAGCAAAGCACTCGCCTCAGCTGCAGAGAACAAGATCCAGTTGCTGTTTGGATGCTCGGGGCTGCCAAGTAGCTGCATTCGCTTTCCATGATAGACCTGCATAGGGATGCTGCCAACACGACCACGCCTCCCTACACCAAAACTGTCTGGTGCTTAGTAGGGAATGGGGGAATGGATCCCTATGACAGTCCCTTTAGGTCCCTTATAGTAGTCCCTATAACCCATTCCCCCATTCCCTACTAAGCACCAGACAGAAAAGTACTGAGAGTCAAGAGCCTCCTTGGATCTCTGTGCTGTGCAGTTCCAGAGCCGGACGGTGTTGTCGTAGCTGGCCGACACAAACTCTTGGCCTGCCGCAAAGAGTGGGAGTTTCAGAAAATTAGGGTACCTTATTTTGGGGTCCTTATAATAGGGATCCTATTAATTACGGTACTATATTAGGGTCCCCTATTTTCGGAAACCCCCGAGTCGTGTCGGAAATGCTGGGCGAACCCACACCCTGCGCTGCCCAGCGTACCGTTCGGTGCGTAGTCCACATCCAGAACGGCCATGACATGATCCCAATGTCTGTACATTGCTGCTGAGAGCTTGCGCATGTCGAAGGTGTACAAGCCTTGGTGCTGAGGCTCCTTCGAGTTTACTCCGGCTTCGACACATGTTGACGAGGCACTACAATCTTCGTTCGCCACGGTGAAGCTCCTCGGCAGGTGCAAGTACGGGCATCTGCAGCACATGAATCATCCGTGTCTGCGTCAAGAACCCTTTCGTCGAGCAGCATCGGGCGCATTGGATTCCAGCAGATACCGTTGGAGCGATTCTTTAAAATGACCTTGTGTCCGGGCAAATCCAGCTCTTCACGAGCGAGGAACACCATTGATGGGACCCGCCTTCCGGATCGAGGCGTTCCCACGTAGATCCTCACGCACGAATGTTCCACAGCTTCCGAATACGCACAGGAGCCTCCCAGAGACTCCAATATCCCTTAATTAAGGAATATACCTTAAATTATAATAGGATCCCTAATATGATTTAAGGTATATTCCTTAATTAGGGGATATTGGAGTCTCTGGGCTCAAACTCGAAGGCCCGAAAGCCTCAAACCACTGGGCTTCCGGCGTAGAGGCCGATCGACCTGTCCACCGCCGTGGATGCCAGCAGGCAAGGCTCCGCAGGATTGAAGCGGCCCTGGGTGTCCCACCATACAAGTAGGCCAAAGACTGAAAGGCTCAGAGTTTTAGGGTTTAGGGCTGTAGGGTTTTAGGGTTTTAGGGTTTAGGGTTTTAGGGTTTTAGGGTTTTAGGGTTTTAGGGTTTTAGGGTTTTAGGGTTTTAGGGTAGCCGCCAGCTAGAAGGAGAAAAACATTCAGTGGATTCAGAGGTCCTAGTCGTATCAAAATGACAAACATCTGCCACTGCAAACGTGCTCAACGCGATCGATGTGGCAGTGATGGCCCCTGTTGGTCTTACGTTTATTGCGAGAGGACTCAACAGCGTTGTCATGCATGCGTAGCATGGGTATATGATGTATGTAAAACTTCTACTGAAGACATCTCAAACTTTATTGTAAGACCCTCCACGAAACAATGCCACGACGCCTTGAAAAAAGCGCAACAGCACGCTCGCATAGCGTTAACAAGCACAAGCCTCTACTCTGGAAAAAAACTGCCAGGATGACAGGCAAGTCGCCGTGATGACCCGCTCGCAACCCCACTCGAAGGAGCTCAGTGGAGTCGACCTATTGTAGTCCCACACGTCCACCTCAGGCGTCCGTGCTGGGTTTAAGGTCCCGAAAGGGCGCTGCAGTACGCTCAGAGAGTGGCCATGCAACCAAGAATGTTTGACGAAACCCATTCCAACAAGCCGCCGTGTCTCCAACCGTGACGAACATAGGCCGCTGCCAATGGTGATCGATGGCCTTGAGTCAACAAGGAAAGGGTCAAAGTCTCGAATTGCTCTGAATTCGTCCCTCCACTCTGTCGGCGATTTGAGGTCCTTGCCCCAGGAATGTAGGCCATGTTGTACACCGCCTGCTCTACAGCACAGCAGCAGCAGCGCGAGCCACCCCGAAACCCTAAGACAACATACGAATTACCATATATTCTATGTCGAAGATCATAAAATCATTTACTGCATATATTCTGTATTAGGATCAGTATATTATATCTGTCGCATACTATATACATATATATATATATACATAATATATATATATATATATATATACATATATATATATATATAGTGTATATACTATAGTAATAGGATCGCAGGGCCTCGGCTTCCTCCGAGATGACGCACGCTTTGGCCTTGATGCTCCACATCTTGGCTGCCTCTTTGTGCCCCAAGGGTTTAGGGCTTTGTTTTGTTGAGGGCCCTTTGTGGTGTCTGAAGCGGAGCGTAGGGTTTACTTAGGGCTCAGGGTTTATTCGGGTTTAGGGTTAGGGCTTAAAGGGTAGAATTTATGGGGTTTGGATTTGCAGACAAAGCTACCCTGTCCGTGGTAGTTACGGTAACCCTCACGTCAGATTCCGCAAATGTTCTTCTGGTTCGTTTGGCATGTAACCCTGGCCCAGGGGTACCAGCAGGGTTCTGTTCAGCGTGGCCCCTAAACCCTAAACCCTTAACCCTAAACCCTAAACCCTTAACCCTTAACCCTTGACCGTATTAACAAGTAGGGCCTCGCCTTGTCATCGCCGCAGGAGAATGCTTTTCGTCCATCGGGACTCATGGTGACGCCGCGCACGAAGCCCTGCGGCTGCAAGCACAGGTGTGCGGCGCTGAACCCTTGAAACCTCGCAGTCGAAGTCACCTCATGGGCTTTGGAGACAGAGGTCCCGCAGCGAAGATACTGCCTCAGCGAAGCGCGAGTAAGCTTCAGGGCATTCTAGGGGGAGCCGCTGAGCTTGCAGGCATGTCCCAAAGTCGAAGCTCCCCATCACAACTCCCGCTCCTCATCGTCTCCGTTGCCAGAACCAAGCAACTCTGTGATACTGCAAACTTCTCTAAAACTTAGGACTTAGGCCGGCACAGCAAGGGCGCAGCCTCATGTCATGGAAAATCGGATGCAACGCGCATTGTACACGTCCAGCAAACCGCTCGTCCCAGGACACCAAGACTATCACCAGCACAGACACGATTGCCACCCGAAGTTGCTTCGCATAAGGATCCAACCATGCGCCGTGCAATCGCCATGCACTTGACAGAGTCCGTGTGCCCATCAAGTGCCTGCCGCTAGGTCAACACACAACCCCGAGTATGACTCAGAGAAGCCTGCGACTGTGCCCTCTGCAAGCCCTCGTTGAGTGCATCAACGGCTTCAAGACAGCAAGGGCAGTGGTTGTATCTGGCATCCGCGCCGACTAGCACACTTATAGCGCCAGGAGTCATGCAAACAAAGGCCTTTACAAACGGCTTGGCAAAGATCTTCTCCATCTTTACCGCCTCCGAGCCCACAACACTGGCACATGGCGGGCGAAGTGATGGTCATTTATCTTTGCAGAGGCTGTCTTGTGCACTGAGCCCTCCGCCTTCAAAGCCCGCTGGTACTCTCGAGCACGTTCAAAGGGATGCAAGTCTGGATCCGCATTGCGAAAGTGGCGTGTGATGTCTCTCGACGTCGCACCCAGGTAGTCCTGGCCCAGATCTCAGATGTTTCTGTCTGTGCCCTGGTCTTTGCATGTCTTCGCTGTGGAACATCCCGGGTTGTAGCGGGTTCTCTACACCAGGTTATCATACCAGATTACCAAGTCTTGCTTGATGAAGCAATCTTGAAGGAACAGCAAATGCTTGGTACCTCGCTCCATTCTACAATGGGACCCCCTCTGTTCTTGCTCACCCGATGCTTGCTGTGGTCAGGTCTCGAACTCTATAACCCTTAACTCAAGGGGTATGCGCCTTGTGTTCAATCGAATGGAAACAAGACCAGTTGTGATACATCAACTGCAGTACCAAGAATCTAAGAAGACAATGAGAACAATAGGACAGAAAACACTACCTGTCATCAGCATCTCATCGTCGTGATCATCGCAGTACCCTACCATGATGATGACATATCGAAGTACGAGTAAAGGAGTAGCCATAACCATTGTGATTAGAAACCCGCCAGCCATTTATCAATGGCCCCTCCTGCTCGCTTCGCTGGAGTACCTGGCTTCGCCCAAGCAAAAAAAATCAACGAAGCAGTGCCAAGCTGCGCCTTGATCTTCATGCCGACAGAGTCACCTGAAACAAGGGCTCGAGTCTTTCTGAGATACTCGTCTGGAACACGTGAAAAGAGGCCCTCGACCCTCAAAACTGAGAAGCATCTCTGAGGTGCGCCTTCACGGTTTTCGCAGCATGGCTTCAGAGCAACATGCCAGAGGCGAAAGCCTTCCTAAGAGCATCTAGAGCTTGCCGGAATTTCTCCGAGTAGGGTCAGCTAGATGCAGGCCACGGTCGACCCGCTTGGGACTGAACCTCTGTGGCATGCCGTTGATGAAGGTTGGTGGTATGCTTGGTAAGCTGCTTGAGCATGGCTGGCAGCACGTCGGAGGCTTCGAGAATGCAACTACCACATGCCCAGAACGCGTTCTTTCAATACATCATCACGGCATAAAACAGCACGCTACAGATATGCTGACATGTATGTATATACGTATACACACAACATAACATCAATGGCTATGTCAATGTATATCACAAACGCTTACAGCGCAATGTACCTGACACTAGCAGGGCCTGAGTTCTGTGATGTGCTCGGTGAGGTGATCCTTCACTGTCCCAATGCGCTCATCCCCGTCGCCCCAAGCAACCCCTGCGTGTGAAGTCCTTGCGGAGGCCATAGGCGTCCAGGACACCAACCGTCTTCACCACAGCCTGCCACTGGCAAGTCGTTGGAAGAATGCTCCAGGACTGCGCCAGGCTTATTTCTACATCCTTCATCCGCAAGCCGAGACATCAAACACCAACAAGCGCGCGGTCTGCGGCCTCCTCGGGGGCATCTGGATCTGCCGTCTGCAGCGGTGCCACCAGCTTCTGCCAAAACAGCCCGGCTCTAGCAAGCGGTGGGGCTCCAATCTTCGTAGCACACCACTGAAACAGCACGCGGAGGGGCATGTCTTTCTCGCCTACTGTAGGAGCAGGCCTAGGGAGGAGATACGCTGCAGGTGCCTTGTACAGCAGCTGCAAATATGGTGAAGTGGGCAAAGAAGAGCGGCTGGCGAGGCAACAAAGTCCAGCCGTATGCGAGCAACATCTCTCGTCCTAGCAGCTTGCCGGCCTGGCGGTTGACGTCAGTCTCAGATGGGTCTGTAGCTCTGTGACCAGTCTCCGCATCCTCCATGCATGCAGAAGCATGCAAATAACACGAATCAAGCAAAGGCTCAGCGTCAAGCGCAATGCCCTATCGAATCTGTTGGTGCACTTGGAGCGCAGCTTGGCACCGGTGGTCTCTTTTTGGTCATCTGCTTTTGGTCGCAAGTACTGCCGCGGTGGCATCTCAGAGCGAGCCGTACATGGACTTTCCTGAGCATCGGCCATGGTTGTGCAGGCCCGGAGGGTCCACGACACAGAAAAAAGCGTCACTAGCCGAGGTGCCTTCCCGATGTGAGCCTATGCTCGGCCTTAGCCAGCACTAGCACAGATCGCCACAGCGGTTGGACGGGGAAGCTGGGCAAGACAGTGCGAATATGAATACGATAGAGCCGAGCAACCTAGCAAGCCCTATAGCACTATTCTCGAAGGTGAGGCACTCAGAAGTGCCTTGCATCAGCCAAAGGTTGCGTCGCTTGGCCGTGACCTGTGTGGTATGACTTGTACAGCCGTCCCCTTCTGTCTACCGATGGCTCAGAACTCTGTTCCTTCCATTGCTGCAGAGGTGCGTCACTCACAACGCTGAGGAACGCCCACAAGAATCCAGCAAACATCGCCACAAACACCTTGGTTGCAGAAAAGGGTGTGCAGTACGAACCAGGCAGCAGTCGCATGGAAATGAGGGCTTGACCGTGCAGGCCACGAAAACCTGCATAAAGACTTCACTGTCTGCTTCTCATGCAGCTCAAGCAAAATTAACACTTTCCAGCCTCTCGCGGGAAGTCTGGTGCCGTCTTGAAGCCGGATGTCTCAATCGGAGCGGAACCGGTGCGGACGATGTCGATGACATACCAACCTCGACGTGACGAATGGAGCGCAGGCTTTAGAGCGTATTCGTAAACAGGTGAAAGCTCAGACACGCCGGGTGCACTTGGACAAGCATCTATCTGAGGAAGGTCTGTTAGCAAGACTTACAGCTAGATACAGCCAGATTGCAAACTCGGGAAGCAAAAAAAGATGCTAAGTCTCTCCGAGCAGCTGGAAAGGGCGAAGAAGACCAAGACCTTGCAAATGCCGGAATAGCTGCGGAGGTCTTTCTGAAGATTCACGGGAGCGGAGCCAGTGATCAGAATCTCCGTGATCCAGAAGATGCTCAAACCGCCGAGCGTGATCAGCTTGAGCCAGGCGGAGTAGGTCAGGCCGAGGTAGAAGCGATCTGCACCGATCACTCCAAGGAAGACGGCCAGGAAGTATGCGGTGGTCTGGGACTTCCTCTTCGTTCGGCACTCTGGGTCGGCCCACTCAGAATCACATTTGCAGAATGGGGTGGGGTTGCTGTCAGAGGTCTTCTCCCAAGAGTGGCAGCCACCATGTCCACTGCACTGCAGCGTCGGAGACAGTCCAGGCAAAGAGCAGGAGTTGAGGACGGCTTCTCTCGAGGAGGCCCCAGGAGGCACAAACTGATAGCTCACCAGGTAGTCATCCTGCTGGCGCCAGTTCCCCACGGTGTGGGCGTTCACGAACTGGCCCATGGCCTGGCCCAGAACCTCGCAGGTGCTGCAACCCTGAAGCGTCAGAGCAAGTGGCGCCAAGAGCGCCAGGAGGCAGAAGCGGCTCGACTTCCCGTCGATCGCAACAGCCCCAAGCACTGCCGCGAGCAAGGCCATGCCGGGTCCCGCGGAGCGGTGCGCAGCTCCAGTGCAAAAGGCCGAGGGCCCATCATGGGGGGCATAGCCGGAAGTTGCGAGGACCGTGGTTTTCGTCAGCGGCTTCTCGTGGTGAAACACGCACTGCACCGACTCATCGCAGCATTGCACGGCGCAGGACTTCACGTAGTTTTGGCAGGAGCTCATGCAGGGCCGGATGTACTCCGTCTCACTGCCCCGGCTGCAACCGGCCTTCGCCCGGGGGAAGTAGGTATAGCAAACCATCTTCCAGATGGACTGGATGCAGTCGTCCGCATCCTTGGGGTTAGGATAGTCCCAGGCATCCTTGCCCAGTCCAGCCAAATGAGTAAAGTAAGCGGTGTTGGCCGCACGATCCTGCTTTCGGACCAGAGCTGCGACACTTTTCTCTTCGGCACTCTGAGGTTCTGGTACTGCGATATCGTAGTCAATCGCCCCTTTACAGAAGCCGATGGAGAGTGCCGTGTCTTCCATGGTCGTGCAGTACCACTTCGTCGAGTTACTGAGCCGATGAAGGTCTTCGAGGCCTGGGAACACTGGGTTGATGCCTCGGCTCACTGCCAGAAACACAGAAATTTAGGGTTTAGGGTTTAGGGTCTATAGGGCGACTGAAAACCTTGGTGCCCGCAACACGTCAAGTCGGATTCTCCAAGTGGCAGTGGTTCTGGAGGCAGACCGGGTTGTCTGTGAAGACTTCCTTTGCGGCACCGAGCGGTATCAGTGCCACAGCTGCAGCCGCAAGCGCTCTCATGGCTGCAACACTTCAGTTTAGGGGGGGCGCTTAGCACGCTTGGCGAGTGAAGTCTGGAGCAACGTCCAGTCCACACTCCCTCGAGCCAAGGGCAGAGCGCGGATAACACATGTGGAACCGACACTCGCAGCTTTGAAATGATATGTCGCAACTCATGGCTCGCACTTTCCGACAAGGCACAGCGCCTGCTTTGTGTGGAATACTTTCCCAGGAAGGTTGGGAAGCTGGGAAAGGCCACAAACCTGGCAGGGGGTTGGCGTTCCAAGGCCTCGGGTTTACAGGTTGGGCCCTATACTAACCACTACTTATTTTTCTTATTTGTGTCACTTGCACCCCAAAACGGATTCTGTTTGGCCTTCCGCATTGCGTGTTTGCCGGTTGTTTCTCGATAGTGCAGAGAACCAGCAGAAAGACCCTCCGATTCTGCAAAACCAGTGTTAAGGGTTGTTCTCTCAATAAGAAAGACTCATCACGGAGAAGCGCAAAGTTTCTTACGTTCCACACTTTGAATAGAAATTGCTGCTCTTCTCTCATGCCATGAGAGATAAGAATACTCCTTCGGTGGCAAACATAAACCTTTATTCTGCGCATATTGCCAGCATGAACGATATCGAACCGCAGGCACATGCGCGAATCCAGAAAACAGACGCCTCGGCAACAGACGGGAAGGCCATGGAAGGCAAAAGCCTTTCAAAACAAACCATGCAGATCCTGACTATGAACCTCAAGTATGACATCTTGAGCCTTCATGCGAGAGGCTGCCTCAACACACCTGACAGTAGCGACAACCGTAAGCACAAGAAAGGTAACACCTCTGATTCATTCAAGACAAGAACGATTGGCAAAAACGGTAGCAACGCCAGGCCCTAATCTCAAGTCTGCAGGGACCGTAGACCCCGCTGAACCCAAACCCGAGAGCCTGAAACCCGAAACACCCCTGGCCCTACTCAGGCCCTACTCCACATCTTTCAAGCAGACCGGGATCGAATCAGAGGTTCCGGGGACGCAGCCCATGGGTCGTAAACGCAGGATAGACGGCAGACAGGATGCCCAAGTCAGGAAGAAGGCTCCACTCCTCCAAAAACGACAAGAATGAAAGGAATGATAAGGAGTAGAAGGATAAGATAAGAGTAGCGAGAGAAGTCTCACTACACTTCCTTTTGTAGTCAAGGAGCATCGTAGCATGAGCTGCCATCAACCCTAAAGCGCAAATGCTACATGCTTGCTGTACTAGCATCAATGGAAACTGTCACATCAGGGCTTAAAGCTCCTGATGCTCCCGTATCCTCGCGCCGATAGTGTCACCGACAGCCATCATGTCGGCTGAGTTGGCACACCTTCCGCAGTAGTTGCAGCAGCAGCATCAGCATCCGTACCAGCACCAGTAGTGTTGTGCAGTGAAGTAGGCGGTGCAGCAGCAGCAGCAGCAGCAGCAGCAGCACTTGCGGTAGTGGCGGTAGTAGTGGTGGCAGGAGCCGTGGCAGCCGTTGTAGTTGTAGTTGCAGTGCAGTGAAACTGGGAGTGATCGCGGACTGGTGGTGGTGGTGGTGGTGGTGGTGGTGGTGGTGGTGGTGGTGGTGGTGGTGGTGGTGGTGGTGGCGGTGGCGGTGGTGGTGGCGGTGGTGGTGGTGGCGAGTAGTCGTAGTTTTGGTGGTGGTAGCGATAAAGCAGAGACAGTGACAGCAAATTCCAAGACGGAAAGCGTGGTAAATCGAGCGCTTAGGCAGCCACCGTTGTAACAACTCATTGTTCACCGGCCTCAGCGATGCAAAAGAGCAATACGAATGCTGGTGGGGTTAGCATCGCATACCCACAGTAACAGCGACAGTGACATGAATACTAACATCACTCTTGATGCCTCATAAGCCAGAAGGCAATCGCAATCACATTCATAACAACTCGGCCGAGCAGCTTCTTGGAAATGGCATTCAAGTAGTTCTCATGGACAAGAAGGCCCATCAGGGAGTGGTCCACGAAGAACTGGCAACTCTGAGCTGTGGAAGCAGGGCTGCGGGGCTACGGATCACTGCAGAAAGCACTGCGAAAAGGAGGCTTCAACGACCATATGAATCCTCTGATCTTTTTTACTGGTCCGTGCTCTTTTGCTCTTGCTAGTTAACGCGACAGCAGCCGTCTCGTCGTAGTGGTCGTGCTGGGTTCGTAGTGGCAGCGGTAGGGGCAGCGGTAGTGGCACGCGTGGTGACGATGACAGTTGCAGCTGATACTGTAGTATAGTAGTCGTCGTGGTGGTGGTGGTGGTAGTAGGAGGAGGAGGAGGACGAGGAGCAGCCGCAGCAGCAGTTGCAGCAAGAAGCAGCAGCTGCTGCCGTCTGCGTGATGTTACCATAGTAACTAGTAGCCGCAACAGCTGTCGAGATTGAAATTGCTGTTGTTGCTGCAGCTGACTATTCATTGTATGACTACTGACTTTTCATTGTCGCCGTCAAACGAGGATGCAGGTTTGCAGGACACACATACATGTGTGTATATATATATATATATATATATGTACATATATATATATATATTATATACATATATATATATACACACACACCGTCGTGCTCATCATCACAGCATCAACAGCAAAATCCAACATCCCTGGCGGACCAAGTCGAGGCGTTCTCGGAAGGAAAGCCGAGCGCCCTCCGAATGGGTGAGCAGCTTCTTACCTGCCATCAAACGACTTGATCACTTAGCGGTATACCCTGAAATTAGGGTTTAGGGTTTAGGGTTTTAGAGTTTTAGGGCTTAGGGTTTAGGGTTTAGGGTTTAGGGGCAAACCCTGACCTGCATGGCCCGGATGCCACAAAGAAGCAACAACTGCACATGTCACATGGCAAGCAGCAGAACACCGCGTGCCACCAACTAGTGTGGTTCTAATGCCAGTAAGCGCCAAAGCAACGAGTTGAACAAGTATATTCAAAGATGGAACATGAGGAGTGGACAAACGGCTGCCAAGGAACAAGCGTCAAAAGGGCCCAGCATGATGGCCTGTGCAATGTGAGGACTGCACAGATCTTGCTGGGACCTCAATTGTCCGTTCTTTGTCTCTTGGTTCCGCGGCAATCACCGGCCTGATCCTTGTTCATCTGGCGCATCTTCTCCTTCATGTCCTGCAGCAAGGCAGTTGCGCTGCTGCTGTAGATGGGTTATTGCAGCGAGGCCAGTTCAAGCCACAAGCTGCGAGGCCCAGTCCATGTATTTGACACCTTCTGCCATGTGGACATCGGACTTCGTGAGCATCTGGAGCTGATTCAGCACCTCTCGAGTCCCGAGTCCACTTCCTTCCCCTCCGCACTCACTTTGCGATTGCCGTCTTTTCAACTGGGGACTCTCATCATCCAAAACATTACAAAACTAAGCTAGGCAGGGAGGATGCTCACCTTCGGCGATCATGCTCCAGTATTCGGCGCCGAGCTTGGCAGATCGGACGCGGCCCTTTTAGAACCTTTTCTGCGCGGGTCTAGAACTGATCAACGCCAAGCTCGTGGAGGAGTGTTGCTGGGCAAAGTGCCACCTCAGATCTCTGATCCACTCGCTGTACAGCCTTCAGCTCTGGTAAGCAGAAGCGACTTGCAATATGAATTCGGCAGGCAGTGCGTGTATGTTCCACCATGGAGGCCATGATGGAATCTGCGGAGTCTCAACCAGGTACTAGCAAGCTTGACAGAGGGTGTGGACCGCACGTCACTGCATCACTGCAAGCAAGACTGGCGCCTAAGGCGTATGCTCTGTACATGGCTGTATCCACAGGGGTACATTGGTTCTCCGAATTCTGGCGCGATCTCCGATTCGGCGGCTCATCGATTCAGCAGCTTCAGACCTGCGCGGTTGCAAGCCCCAAACCTGAGGCCACCGGAGTCTACCGCTAAGACGCTGCCTCCGCGGCGCAACATCACCTCTTCCCCGGCCTGACATCAACTGTCTCTACATGAGAGACTGCTATGGACCAAGCCAGCACAATATTCATACTATTGAACATAATAATACCACTAATACTAATATTACGAATATTAATTGTACTAATAAGAGTACTACTAAAATAGCAATAATCATAGTATTGAGAGAAAGCCGAATCTCCAGCTTCTCGCCAAAACTCTGGTCTGCTGCCGCTAAGAACCGTACTTTGTTTCATTTGCACTAGGACAAATCGCAGAATTCCCCGGCTTCACTCCAAAAACCTAGTTTGTTTCGTTTAGACTAGGAGGAAAGCAGAATTCACCGGCTTCTCTCCAAAAGCCTCGTCTGTTTCATCTAGTCTAAGTATACCAGACATGAACGTGCAATGTACTGCAGCAAATAGCCTGAGAGAAACGTTGTCAGTGTAAGAAACAGCCTGTCGCTGTGAGACTGGCTGCTGCCACCGTGCTTGAAACCTTGACGTGGTAAGGGCACAGTCTTGCAGTTCCAGTGTTGCTGGCGGTAGAGGTGGAGGCAGTAGCAGTAGCAGAAGTACTAGCAGAAGTAGTCGAATCCGCCTAAACCCTAAACCCTAAACCCTAAACCCAACTGCTCTTACTTCCGAAACCGCTACTACACTTCGTGCTTCCATCGGCCTGGGCCTTCCTCGGGTCAGGAGAGCGGGCGGCACTCCTGGGCATCCGCAAAGCACACCGCGGTATCCGACGAAGGAGCCCCTAAACCCTAAACCCTAAACCCAAAACCCCTAAACCCCAAACCCTAAACCCACCCGAACCCTGGAGCAGGAGCTGCAAAAGCCCCGCCTCTGGGAGAAGGAGGTGGCAGCGTGCTCGTTCTGCGAGTTCGCTGTCGCGGGAAACTTCGAGGCGGTTCCCGGGCCGTTTGTGCAGCCGGGAGCATCACCTTTCTGAGACATGGTGACATGGGGGGGGGGCCCACAAACCATGGTCAGGCTGCTGGCTACTGCGACCTACAGCGTGTACGGAACTGGAATCTAAGCCTGCACCCCAAAGGGAAGCGAAACCCTGATCAGCCCCTAGATGTGCAGCGAGCAAGCCGATCTCTTGCACGGCTCAGGCTGTGACATCGTGCTTTGTTGCGGCAAACATACCCTGCGAGCAGAGACGATGATGTGATCGTCAACACTTCGCACATTTTGCGGCGGACGCCTTGACCTGCTGTTTCAGGGCCGGGTCAACTGCCTGCCTGAGACTTTGCACGGCAGGCAAGCAAGTTTGGAAGGACAACACCGGACATGATGCCATACTATAGCCGTGAAGACATATATTATATAGCTCGAACAAGGCACACCACGCTTGAGAGCTCTTTGCTGGTAAGCTCGCCATCTGCATCCTGACAAAGAAAGAGCAATCATCAGATCAGCAAGCTGAAGGAAAGTGCTGGCATTGCCCACAGACATCAGATGTTGTTCCAGCGACCTGATTGTTCCATCCCACCCCGAAAATCGAAGATATGAACGAGTCTTTTAATTGCATTTCTCACAAGTAGGCATCTCTGCAAATCTCTACCTGATTCTTCAACCTTGGATGCCCTCCAGCTTGGCAGTGATTCATCGTGGTTTTGACAACGTCATCGCCGCCTGGTCCCAGATTCGGAGAAGCTTCTGTGCATCTCTGGTACTGAGCCCACCTGCACGAAAAAAGCTATGATGGCGCCGTCGTTAAAAATAAGCAAATGCTGCTTGCAACGACGCGCGAAAAGCAGTAACACAATTTACCACCACAGCACATCAGGCACACCATGCCAGTGCATTTGGCCAACGCGAGCCGGTGCCCCCAAGATCCCCCAAGCTCTGCGGCCTCGTGTGCACAGCTCTCGAGCAGAGAGCTTGCCGTTGCCATCAAAATCCAATGCTTCAAAGAGTACCTGCGCAAAGAGAGAAAGACGAGACCGGGCTTCGATTTTAATCGAGTCCGAGGGGGGGGGGAGTGTGCCTGCAGGTCCTCACGGCTCAAGCTGTCGACGACGGCGACCGGTTGCCGGCCGCTTGCCGCCCGCTGCATTGCCATCGGATCTTCGATGCTATTCCGGTAGAACCTCGCAAGATGCTCTCCCTCGTCGGAGGCTTTGGGTCCCTTTTTTGAGGGTATAGGGAACCCCCAAAACCCTATTCTACTTATTAAGGCCCCTAGATTACGGCCTATACCCCCTAACCCGGCCATGTTCTCGGCCTGCTTTGTCGCATGGAGGCGCGCTTCTGCCGGAGAAGGGATGCCAGCACCTGCCCCGCAGACCCAACTCCGACAAGACTAAGACCCGTCGAATCTACCGGCGCTTTTGCCTTAGGGGCCTCAATAATTAGAATAGGGTTTTGGGGTATATTTTTACTATGATTATATTACGGAACTTCCAAAATAGTATTACCGCTGTGAAGGCGAACCTGGTGGGCATGGAAGCTCTGGCACCATCGCACGCAGCACTCGATGGCTCCATCACTGGCCTGTCTCAGACGCTTTGAATTCCGGGAAAAATCCGCAAAAAAAACGTAAAAACCACGGCGTGACAGCTGGGAGTCGAAGTTCTCTGAGCTCCAAGCTTTGGGCCACAGCAAACACAGAAAGCTGCGCATGGAGACGAGGCCTCACTGGCAGCTACTTCACGCCATAAGCTTTAGGCTGTAGGGTTTATTAGGGTTTATTAGGGTTTATTATGGTTTATTAAGGTTTATTAGGGTTTATTAGGGTTTATTAGGATGCCTCCTTCGCCCGCTTCACCAGTAGTGCCCGGCCCGCTCAACCTGAGAGCGTGCAGTCTGCATGACTGAGAAGACTCCTGTGGCTCAGCGCACCTCTCCAGTCGCTCAGCGAAATCCTTGGCCAGCATCGCCTGGCTCACCTGAGCAGTGCCCGGCTCCCTTTCGTTTTGTTCGGCTGCCGTTCTGGCATTGCTGGGCCCGTGGCACTCACCACCAGCCGATCTGCGCCCAGCTCATCCTGTTCGCTCGCAATGTTCTCCGCCAAGTCCCGGCCTGAATATGGAAACCATCCGCAGCTTTCCAGACCATCCCCAGCCCAAGCACGTCCCAGCCCCAGGAGCCCCATCTCTGTCTCGGGGCACGGCTTTCTTCAACAGCTGCATTGATCATGGGGAAGACCTTGACTCGCCCCCTGCCTCAGTACTTCAACGCTACGCTTCTACGAACGGCTGTTGAATGTGCCCCACAGCAGATAAACCTCCGAAGGGTTTTCGAATTTTCGTCATGCTGCTGCGGCTCCCTCCCTCGCGATAGAAGGAGAGCCACTCTCCACCAAGAAACACTTAAAATCAAACCTTGGGCCTTCTTACAACTCGAAGAGCAAGTGCTCCAGGAGGCAGGACGCCCCAAGTGAACTCGGGAGCGCACTGACAAGGTTCATGAGCTCTGTAGCATGGATGATGCGAGGGTTCTCCTTCGTGTTGACAATGACTTCTTGCAGGTCTACGATCAAAGGACTGAGCACCATGGGCACGCCTTGTCGGCAAATAGCCGAAAGCAGATCCAAGCAACCCATGCATGGGCCTCACGAGAATTGCCGAAAGCGCGAAGACTGCCAACTCGCCGCAGTGGCACCTTCGTCAGCCCGTCCCGGTTGGCTGCCCGCTGCCATGGTTTGTCGTAGTGACGGGACCTTCACAGAGCGTCACACGCTAAACCCTAAACCCAAAACTGAACCCTCAGCCCTAAACCCGAAACCCTAAAACCTAAACCCGAAAGCCCCAAGCCCAAAGCTCTAAAGCCCTAAAGCCCTAAACCCCAAAGCCCTCAAGCCCTAAACCCCCAAAACGCGCGCTGACTGCGAGAGGAGGCCTGGCGCTGGCGCTCGCGGAGCCCTGGCTTTGGGGCGGCGAAGGGTCCGGAGCCAAGCGGAGGTCACGCCTCAGACCTCGTCGAGAAACATGGGCTATTGTGCTAGATTATACTATACTGCATTGTACTATATTATATCATAATGTAAAGTACATTATATGTATATATATATATATATATATCTTACTATATCTTATAGTGTATGATATCATATTGTATTAAATATTGCAAAAGTTGAGTCACGCACTGAGACTCGGCTCCCCCGACCGTCCGGGGGCCTGAACGCCACGAGTGCTTTCTGCTTCACGACGGCTCGCACGTCGCGGGGTTTAGGATTTGGGTTCAGGGTTTAGGATTTAGGGTTTCGGGCTTTTTCATAAGGATTGATTTAAAGTTTAGGGTTTCGGGTTTAGGATTTAAGGCTTAGGGGATCGGCTTTACGGCTTAGGATTTAGGATTTAGGGTTCCCGGGCCTTGTGTCCTCTGGAGGCCGACGAGCCCATGAAGTGGACAGGCTCCTGCGAAACTTGCAGGAGCCAGCGTCTTCCTACTCACAGAAACTGCGGTGTTCATGAAAGGGGTCATGCTGGGATTGGTGATCTCGAACCGTAGACCGGAAGAATAGTGAGAATGGTCTTGTGATTCGACCAGTTTTAATCACGTTGGTGATCACATGCAGGTTGAGAGCGTTAAAACTGGAAATGTCTGAGCAAAACTCGCCCACAGCAAGATCTGACACTACAGTTAGCAAGACAAGACAAATCGCGTGGCTCGAATGCTGGCCACTGTTGTAGCGGCTTTGCAGGCTCAAGGTGAAGGGGGTGCCTTCGATTCTTTCAACGCAGTTAGCCTGCAGGGATCCCTGTTTGCATGTACTACAGATAACAGTATGCTCAAACTTACATATCACACTTTGACAACCCAAAGACATATGGTGTTAGCATGGATGACATCATGTAACCACCCAAAAATACCCCAACACCCCGAGGCGCCTCATGCACGTGCTTCTCGCGCGAGGGGAAAGGCTCACAGAGCCGCAGCAGGCCCTGGGCTTCAGGGCTGTCGGGCATGCAAAAGCCCAGGCTTGTGTTTTTGTTCTTGGGGTTTGCGACGTGGGGCAACTATGACTGTATGTATATGTATCTGTCTACATATATATATATATACATATATATATACACATACATACAATCATACATATACATATACATATTTTACACATACGTATATATATATATATATGCAAGTATGTAAGTATACAGATTGTACATATGTATGTATGTATGTATGTATGTATGTATGTATGTATGTATGTATGTATGTATGTATATATAGTTACATTTATTGATTTATTTATTGATATTCATCTATCAAAAACTCATTTATATACTTACGCATACAGAGAGAGAGAGATAGAGAGAGAGAGGCACACACACAGAGGGAGACTGGGTAAGAGGTTCTTAGTCGGGCTGATTCGCTAGCGTCCGCCGCCCGCCTCGCTTCGATAGGCATAGTTCACGATCTCCCCAATGCTCACAAGCCCCGAGCCTTCGCTCTGCAGAACACAAGCAGCTCAGCCGCAGGAACTGACTCTGGCCGAGAACCTCTGCTCTTGCGGAAAAGAGGCCATCTGCGTCGAAACGCTGGAACATCTCCTCAAAAGAGTGAGACAGAGAATGACGTCTGTGGCATCTGAACTCACGGCACCCACGTTTCCTGAGCCAGGTGTTCCAGTCGTCTGCCGTCCGGCAGACTTGCTCTGGGAAAGAACCGCGCCAGACCTGGACGCTTACAAGCGCTCCAGGAAACTACATTCCATGCAGGGGCTCGTAGACGTCACAAGAACATCAAGAACGGTCCAAGGGCATCGCCGAAGAACACCGAGCGAACCTGCAGCACTCACAAAGCTGCAAAAAAGAAATCTGCGGCGGCTTGTCGATCTCTGTGCAGGAAAACACGTGCGAAACTCCAAGGGGATGGCGGCCAGAATGATCTCAGACTCGTTGAGGCAGCCATCTCCATCCATGTCGAAGATGCTGAACAAGAAGCTGACCTCCATCCACAGGTCAAGCCGAGGATGCTCCACAAAGAGTTAGGAAGGCAGGGCACTCTGGAAATGTAGTGCTGGCCAGACATCACCACCATGGGACCTCCAGGCGCAACGCTCGTAATCGTCGAGAAAATAGAAAGCTGTCGGAGAAGGATTGAATTCGGAGCCTATGACAGACCAGAAATCCAGAAGACCGCGATCTGTATGTTCGGGCCTTAAGTTGGTCAGAGTGCCCAGATTTGTCTAGTGCAGTCCTACGTCTGTACCACCAACATCGGCTGCGCATGTGCATTAGCTAAGCCCAGCACCCCAGCAGGAGGTCGAAAATGTCCTTGCAGGGTGTAGACTATGCCTGGTATGATAGTAGCTCAGAAGACACTTAGTACTTAGTATGCGTATGTAACATTCTGTACTGACATGAAGCTTGGATAGTCTTAAACCCCTAAGTCCTAAACCCTGAACCCTAAACCCACTAAGATGATCTTAAGACTTGTGGCAGCTCATGGGCTTCTACGCAAATGCAGCCTTCGTCAGGTGGAAGTTGCTGATTCGAAGAATTTGCCCCAACTGCCTCCCAGAAAAGACTCAGCTTAGGTTTAGGGGTTTCGGGTTTGGGGATAGGGGTTTCGGAACTTAAGATTCAGGTTTTTGGGCGTCAGGACTTGACGGTTCGGGAGGTGGGTTCACTGCGACAAGGAAGCGGCTGGCTGCGTTTAGAGCTCATTGCTGAGGACAGGCATCTTTGAGCCCGGCGGCCGTCCCCAAGCCTTCTCTCGCGCTAGCGGTGACATTACCCTACCCAAAAAACCCCAAACCTTATAGACTCCTTATGAGCCCTAAATCCCGAACCCAAATCCCTCTACCCTAAACCCAGAAAGCCCTGATCCAAGTTCCGAATTCAGCAAGATGAGCACTCTCCTAAGTGGTGCTCAAGGCCTGCAGTTCACCGCATGCCCGCCGGCAGATCGAAAGTTCTCGAAAGAGTGCCGCAAATCCTGCAGGCCACAGGATGTAACCGACACCGGGGCGCAGAGCCTTTCCATGTCACCACCTCTCCTCCCGGGACCAACTTTGAAGATGTGTCAAGCATCCGTGGGCAACCTTCGCAAAGCAGACAAGGCTGCTCAGGCTGCTGGACGTAGCATCAATGCAAACACGCCTTTGTAGAGCCGTCTGCTGCCCAAAACCGGTCAACTATGCCTCACAAAGACTGAAGACACCGACGGCACTTAGGTGACAGAACGTCTCGTAATCAAACCTAATATCACGTGCCTCCCATGCGTCAAGCGACTGGATGGGAGCAAGAGGGAGAGGGAGAGGTAGCATTGATTCAGAACGTGCAGCTTGAGCCCAGCGAGGCATAGAGCACAAGCTGCTGGCAGCTTTCACGGATTGCCACATAAATCGGAACGACAGCTGGTGGGGCTGGCACCATCCGCATATCACTGCCACACGACCTCAAGGGACTGATCTGGACTATGGCACTGGAAAGTTTCGACTGCGACTTCCAAGACTTGGACTCTGCCAGCGCCTCTAAAGCGTTCGTCTCCACCTGAAAACACGGGGATGTGGACTCAGGTTGAGTCACATTGCCGAGCCGCATTCAGCCGCCTGCAGACCGGTTGAAGCCGAAATCTGCGCCTGAGTTCTTGCAAGTGCTCTATATGTATATATATATACATATATATATATATATATATATAATGTACTATACATTATAATATAATATAGTACAATACGGTATAGGCTCATGTTGCTCGCAGACGGCTTTTCCCGGGCCCGGGACGCAGCGCTGCGCGACGGTGTTCTTCGTCGGCCTGCCGGCACTTCAGAAAGCGCAGAGCAACGGACGAGCAGGCTGGCAGACACAGGCAGGCAGGGAGGCTGGCACCATGCAAGAGAAAGAACAAGCTCGCAGGCGAATGATGCCTCTTTCGCACAAAACATGCACACACTTGTGCTGGGAGTCTTTTGCGACATGCAAGACAATGCAAGACATTAGGTGGAGGCGAGCAAATGCCGTGGCCTGGAAAACTTCAGATCGTAGCAGCTGAACCTGCATGTCTGTCCAGCTTCCATACGCAACCTGCCCTCATGCCCCGCCTTATCCTACAAGTGAGCCAAAAAGTCTGAGCTCCCGACGCCAAAGACCGAACCTGAAGCGCACTTGGAAGACCCTGAAACTCCTTTGCCGAGATCGAGGCAGAGAGCCTTCGGGCTGTGGGAATCGTTGCAGATGCACATGATGGGATTGCGCGTCTTCTTGATCATCCTGCCGGGGCTGATGCGGTGACGGACAATCCACTACAAGATGCTCGAGTACACTCACACCACGATACAAGTGATACTAAAAACTGCAACCACATTGTAGCACGACATGCCGTACTCCAACAAAAAAAAGGCGGCTGGTCCTGCCCAAAGCCGCCATGCCGCCCCGGTCACCGGCGCCCATACCGTCCACCTTGCCGGACGCCACCGAGACAAGAGCACGGAAAGGTGAAAAAAGGAGCCTCATCCATGATGATGATCGCCTTCTTGGTCAATGCCGGCACCTGCTGGCAGGGATGGAACAGCAAGGCAGCATCCGTCCTTTTCAAGCTACAGAACAGCTTAGCATAAAGTGATGCCTTTATGGGACATAGCCCGGCCTTCTTTGCACCCACGTCGCCGAAGCTGAGGGTTCGGTTGTCGGCAATACCCGAGGCCATATCCTGGAAAAGATATTCTTATTGTGATTGCGGTACGAGTGTTGGTTTGGCTGCCTGCCGCACTATGGCCGAAGTCTCTTGCTTTCCGCTCAGGGCTTTCATGCGTTGCACAAGGCCTGGACAATCTTCTGCCCACGTGCATCGGAAGCATTGAACTCGAGGACCTGGCGGTGCACACGGACCCTAAAGGGACCTGCCCAGCGTCCCCCTGAAGTACCACCGCTAGCCTCGTAGCCGCCGTGGAGCTTGGCCACGAGCCGGCCTTAGAGGTGAGCGCACATGGGCTGTGATGTTGTTCTATATACTAAGTTACCGTATACTTCATTCTATTATGTGTCCGCCATTGCTGGCCCGCATTTGCAAAGATCTCTACTCAGGCCGGTGCAGGTCGTGGTTTTGCCGATGCCAGGTGGGCCACTGATCAGCGCAGCCCGTGCATTGATGTTCTGGCCATGAAAGCAGGTAGCTGCAGTTGTGTCCATGTCCTTACATCCTAAACTTGTCTCTGCTGTGTGAATGCCTCCCGCCTCTGGCATGCCACCGCCTGGTTTGAAAGGCACCTTCTTGGTCCTGCCCTTCAAAACCACCTGGACTCACAAGATGCTTTCGAGTCGGTGTGTGCGTGTGTGTGTGTGTGTGTAAACATACATCCATACATCCATACATAC